TGAGAAACTCACAAGACTTTGTTGCTAAATTTTGAGCATTGAATGATCTATCTACTTGTGTGGCTGTTTTACTTCTTAAGCCAGTAATGCGCTCAATTAAATAACTTCAGAAGTTGCTCGTGCGAAATATGCAGCTTTATACAGACCAAACAGATTGCGCCACTTAGTAAGATCTAATAACCTTAATGAAAACTTGGAGAAATCTACTCGGATGTTTAAATTTCCATGTGATTACGGAACGCATCTACTAAATATGGTAATATAGCGATCACACACTAAGTACTAACGTTCAGGCTGCCGGTTGGCTTTAAACTAAACAAGCAAAATTCCAAGCACAGCAGAGCACTTACAAGCCTGAAAATGAATGTATTTTGAGACATACTGCCTGAATAATTACACTGTATTTAGTTGAAATTATTATTAGAAAAACACATATTAGATCAGCCTAATATAGTTCTGGATTGACTGCATGACAAAATATTGCTAAATACTTTATCTTCAGTCTTGTTTTTATTTTTAGACAACTGCTAGTGACCATAAATACCAGTGTCAATATAAATCAAGTCCAATTACATAGAAGTTAAGGATGCCACATGTATTAGGAGTTTGATATGGTTTTTACCAGCAACACCTTTGTAGTCGAAGTATGCAAGTCCAATCAGGACAGAAGCAAAACGTGAAGTGCTTCAAATACATATTTGAAAGGCTATTGAAATATCTGGAAGCGTTTGATCTAGGCTGGTTAACAGTCGCAAGCTATGTGTAGCATGGCTTACCCACCCATAATCTAGTGCAGGTGCGTGACAGAGATCCTTCAGCTATATATATCTATTAAAACTAATTAGGTCAAGGTCAAAAGTTGAAGACATACAGAACTATTTATTTAGGCGGTTTATTTATCTCTACAAGGTTCAGATATTTTGTTCGTCCAATTAAATTACTATTCCAGTCCAGTTTTGTCTATCCAGCTTAATTATGCTTTGACTCTTTTGTACTACTGTATATCCTAACAAGTTCCGTTACTGAGATATATATTCAACACAATTTGTATTCAAGTTCTAACTTAATCCCATTATCCGAGGCTACTTCGTGTAACACTTAAGAATGCTATCCACCTAGAGGATGTCTTGCTAGCGAGTCATTTACTGGAATCAGACGGTAATGTAAGAATACTACCTGACATACCGTATTCTGAGCGCAATCATATCTGGAACATCCTCAACTAATCTCGCGATCAGTGTTTCCGCGGAAGAAATATAGTCGTGCAAGGTGTACCGGAAAACACGGACTCTAATCAAGCAAACTCCGACATCAGGGAATGGAAATTCATCAAACAGTCCTTAAGGCTCAAACACATACTGACTCAACACGTGACGAGACTAGCCAAGAAGGACGGTGATTCCAGACCTCGGCTAATGAAGATAACTTCCCATCTCCCAATATGGCGACTGCAACTCTGGAGGCATTTCGTGCCAACAGACCTCAGTTGCCAGCTGGAATCCATATGCACCCGGATAGGCCATATGAAACTAGGACCAAGCACAAAGGCAAGTTGGAGCTGACCATTCCACTTGTGGACTGCCTCGATGATAAAAAAAACGTGTAAAGGACAGGGCCTACCAACTCGGCAAACCTTATATAGGTAGGCTACCTGTCCATTCACGTAAGGCTCATTCAGACAAACAGGAAGAAGCTCACGCATTTCAAATTGAAAGCATAAACTGCTTGTACGTGAACGCCGCGAGTCTACCAAACAAAATGGATGATCTACGTAAACTTAATAGTACTAACAAGGCTCATCTGATAGGAATAATTGAAACTTGGATATCTTCTCAGTTCTCGGGCCAGGAGTTAGCAGTACCTGGAATGTCTTTGTTTCGCAACGACAGAAAATCAGGGATCGGGGGCGGAGTAGCCATATACATAAGCTCTTGCTTGGAGGTGCACCAAGTTCACAACCTCGAGTTTAACAATCTTGAGGAATCTAGATGGTGCTCTGTAAGATTGTCTAGTACTTCGAGGTGTCTAGTCGGAGTCATTTACAGGAAACCAACTGCCGACATCGAGTACGATAGTCGTATGCTGGAAGGACTATCCCGCTCTACCCGTCCCGGTTTCACACACATCCTGATTCTAGGGGACTTTAATCTCCCTAGTGTCAACTTTGCGGAACACACGTATACTGGGGGCGACAAGTCAATTGAAGCTCGGTTCTACAACCTCATCAATGACTTGGGCTTATATGAAAACGTGAGGTCGGCAACTCGTTGGAGAAACAGTCAGACACCATCGCGCTTAGACTGTGTATTCACTAACGAAGAATTCCTAGTCGACAACCTCTCAATCCTGGCTCCTCTGGGAAAGAGCGATCATGCCGTCATAGCCTTCAGTTTTGTCATCAAAACTAAGCTAATGTATCCCAACAATAATTTGCGTTGGAATTTTAAACGGCTGAATGTGCCAGCTCTACATGACTATCTACAACAGGTGGTTTGGGATGTTCACCCTCAAATCGATGTGGATGGTCATTGGGACTTCTTACTGCACACGCTCTTATGTGCTACAGACCATTCAGTTCCTCAAACGGTTCCCAAAAGCTTCGAGCCACCTACAGTAATCAAGAACCGTACCCTTCGCCTGCTAAGCCGCAAAAGGCACTGTTGGACGGAATACAAACGAACTAATAACGATGGAGCGTACACGCAATATAAACATATAAGGAACAAATGCACAACGGCCATAAGAGAAGGCAGGCTTCAGTACCAGACAAAGCTTATGGAGAAATTTGTCTGTAATCCGAAAACCTTATTCCGTTATGCAGCCTCTCTTCGTCAAGCCAAAACTGGAGTTTCCCAACTGCTAGGTCTTAACGACCCGACCTGCGACGACGGCGACGCCGCTAACCTTTTGGCTGGACAATAATCTCGAACATTTCAACCGACCCACATAAACTATACTGACGAAAGCTTAATCTGCAACTCCAAAGGAATTTCCGAAGTGGACCCGAGCGCTGACTTGGTGTTCCGGAAACTGCAGCACTTAAGACTTGACACTTCTCCTGGCCCGGATGTGGTTCATCCTGCCATACTGAGGGAGGGAGCCTCAATCCTGGCAATGCCGCTTAGCGTGATGTTTTCACACTCGCTTAGCCGAGGCAAATTACCGGAAAATTGGAAGTTGGCTCACATCACACCAATTTTCAAAGGAGGTCGACGCAATGAACCTTCAAGTTATCGGCCGGTGGCTCTTCTGTCATTACCTTCAAAACTCATGGAGTCCCTGATATGCGACGGCTTAAATGACTATTTACTGTCCTTACATTTCTTCTCACCCCAACAGTATGGTTTCAGGAAGGGTTACTCTTGTATAACCAACCTGCTGACTGCGGTGGACAGATGGACAAGCATCCTCGATTGCAAGGGAAAGGTTGATGTCATTTACCTTGATTTCTCAAAAGCTTTTGATAAGGTTAACCACTTGTGTCTTATCAACAAGCTCAAACGACTAGGTATCAAACCACCTCTAATCGATTGGCTTACTTCATACCTAAAAAATCGACACTTTAAGGTTAGGGTTAATTTCACTTTATCTCAGGCTATGGAATGTCCTAGTGGGGTCCCCCAGGGCTCAGTACTAGGGCCTCTTCTCTTCTTGATCTACATAAATGATCTTCCTCAACAGGTAACGTCAGACTTACTACTTTTTGCCGACGACGTGAAACTTTGGAGAGAGATACGCAACCAAGACGATACACAGGCACTTCAGGAGGATCTGACGCGACTTCAAAGTTGGGCAGACGATAACGGACTTACCTTTAACACTTCAAAGTGTAAATTGGTCCATATGCGACATGTTGCAGACTGCAGTTACAACTTAGGAAACTCCTCTCTAGTAGTATCTCAAGTCGAAAAAGATTTAGGAGTCCTGGTGCCCCATGATTTAAAGTCTTATGCTAACTGTGACGAAAATGCCTTTCGAGCAAACCTTGCACTGGTAACGTTGAGGCGCATTTTTGGCCAGTTTGACGGAAGAACTTTCCTTATAATCTTCAATAGTATCATCCGTTCTCATTTAGAGTACGGAAACAGAGTATTTTCTCCCTCACTCCAGAAGGACAAGGACACTCTAGAGCGTATCCAACGGCGAGCCACGAAATCAGTTCGGCGACTCAAATTCAAACCTTATGGAGAGCTTCTTCAATCATTTAACCTTTACCCATTAGAGTATAGACGTCTTAGAGGTGACGTTATGATGGCTTACAGTATCCTTAACACTTCTGGACGTCATCTCAAGCACCTACTTAAGCTTAGTTCCAACACTAACCTAAGAGGTAACACCCAGAAATCGGAAACACGACATAGCAGAACGGACTGTAGACACAACTTCTACTCCTTAAGAGTAGTCAAAAGCTGGAATTCGCTGCCGGCCGAGCTAGTCCAAGCGACTTCCCAGGAGACCTTTGATAGGCAACTTGATCTATTTTTAAGGATTAAGGATAGTATCATGCTATGATATACCGATTTCTTTTCCCTCTTTTATTGTTAACATACCTAGGTTCCTGCCTGGAGTTAATCGTGATCCCCTGCTACTAGACACGGAAGCCTGTTAAGCGAAAGCTTCTTCTATTCCGTCCACAACTATTTGAACTATTCGTACAAACAGGTTCCTCAAGGTCGTCAAAAAAGAGGTAAATTCAGTCATAAGTTGTGCGGTGGTTTGGGCTTTTTGCTCTAGTTTGTGATTTATAAGATTGTCTTAGTCATAGAGTTGTGTTGTTTCTGTTCATTGTCGGTCTCTTTCACTATTAAGTGTGCGCTTGTTGTGTCGTTGACTCACTTTATCTTATGTTCCTTTTTCTAGCACTCCAAGCTATTGTGCGTGTTCTTCTTGTACACAAAGTACCTTCTGGCCTGACACAAACCACAGCAACTGACTCCCGTCCCTTGTTCAGGGTTCATCTGACTCCATAACAATACAAATTACTGCCAACAACACTACACATGTTCAAAAAGTGAGATCGAGTTATTATTAATCGTCTTTGTAGGTTTGACGAAAAGGAGGACATTTCCTGTACAAATAATGCCAAGAACTCCATCGTGAAATCTTTACGCACTCGACTGACTGAAGGTTATGGTATTGATAGTAAAATGGTTGATCAGATTTTGCCCAAGAAAGATGTTGTAAAACACATTAAGTGGTAAGGTGCTGGGGTTTAATATTAAACAATTTAAGTCATGAACATGTCGACTTGTATTCAGATTCTGACGGTGAAGTCATGTTTTTCCGACAACGTGAGGGTCCGTTTATTCCATCGCTGAGATTGCTTCATAAATGTAAGTAGTTTCTGGTTGTGATCGTCTACGTAATATTTGATGATGAATCACATTTGTGATTTATAACTTTACCGCATAGTTTCCAATGGTTATTTTTCGCAAAAGTTGAAAGCCAGAAATTTTAGTCTGATCGTATGCATAACAACCAACAATATTTAAGTTAGAGCAACACATATAAGCGAACAATTGTTTTCAATTAGATCGTCATCAAGCTTTACTCTAATACATAAATATTTATACGAAAATGTTAAGCCAATCAAGGCAATATGGGTTAATAATCACAATGAAATAGAAAAGGTCACCACGCATAATAAGTAAAAATACAAGTTGATAGTAGGAAGACAGGTGTGCTGATAGTAGTAAGAATAATAAAATACCATAACAAAAGTCTTATCAATAGTTAAACGTTGGAAATGGAAGTTTAAACGTGAGTAAATGGACTTGGAATAGTCAACACAAAACATTAATACTATTACGTAATAAGAAGTGTGCAAATAATTAGATAGTGAAGAATACAAACGGGAAAAGACGGAAAATCACAAACAAATACTAGATGTGAATATAAGGCTAATGATAACAAAAATAGAATAAAATGAATAAATAATTAAAAAATCGTTAGTTAAGTTATAACTGGCCATGAGAGGGATAGGGGGGTTACAAATTTCTTCTATACACATAAATTTAGGTTATATGTACAAATTCCTATGGCTTCAGCTATATGTAGGAGGCGAGAACGAACTCCTTTGGGAAATGATGGAGGTATGCGATAGATCCCTCGAAATGATTTCGATTTATCTACAGCATGACCGCTATCAATGAGATGTGCCAAGATAGAACTGTGAATTGTTTTTATCTGGCCCTTTATAATACTTAAGTTCTCTCATTCACTGGAATTACTGCAAGTCATAACGTAATCGCTTCCAACATTTGGAAATATGAAGTCAGTTATTTGTGAGACTTTTTAACACTCAGTGATTTTGTGATAATTTCCGACAGATTCATATTTGGCCCAGAAAACCACATTTGTCTGTTCGTATTCACAATTATCCTAACTGACGTTTGGTGATTTCATATAGTTTAGTGTGTCTTAACTGACAAATCAACCTAAATTATAGTGTATTTGTCGAGGCATCCTACATGAAAATAAGATGTCAAGTCCTGTGCGTATCACATATCACCAACCCCACTTTCTCTATTTTTGATTAACTTCATCATAGACCTATTGGTGAAAATAACATTCTCGTCTACTGAATTATCGGGTATTGATCTCCTTCCAGGAGGTCCACTTATCGACTTAGAATACACAGATGATATAGTCCTGTTTAGTGAAGACGCTGATAAAATGCAGAGTCTTTTGATAGCTGTTAGCGGGACATAGACTGGATTAAAGCATGCTCAATGCATGATTGCTTTGGTGCACGCTGATTGGTTAATTCTTATCCAATCAGCACTAGTCGGTAGTTGGAGAATACTTTGGAATCTTCTTATGTAAAAACTATAAATATACTGACGTTTTCCCTATTGTGCTTCTGACTTGCTTCTTACTTCCATCTAACCTTGTTATTTGGAATATAATCTCTTTCCTGTTCAACCGTGTTTTGATTTGGGGACTTGTCGAGTGAATCGGTGTCCGAGAATACTAAGCAATAGGAATAGCTGGGTCATAACCGTAAGAAAGAGAGATTTATAACAATAGCACTAAGCAACAATGCCAGAATGTTTGGTATGCGCTTCTCTCCCTCTAAATTCAAGCTGCTGCTACAGGAGTGGTCTGCGTCAACACCTAAACTAAGGATAGAGAGTGAAGTAGTCGAACGCTTTGACAACTTCACTTATCTTGGAAGTCTGATCAGCCCTAATGGGTTGGTGTCTGACGGAATCTCAGCACGGATTCGAAAAGCTCGCTTGGCTTTTGCCAACTTACGCCACCTATGGTGAAGGCGAGATATCCGTCTATCAATAAAAGGACGAGTATACTGCTCGGCAGTTCGTTCTGTCTTACTTTACGGCTGCAAAACGTGGTCATTAAGAGTTGAAGATACTCGTAAGCTACTAGTATTTGACCACAGATGCCTTAGAAATATTGCTGGCGTCTGTTGGGATCATATGATATCCTAATTGTCGTATGAACTAGGAATTCCAGGATTAACGCAATTCAATTAAGAAGACACAAGCACAAACGAATGTATTGTATTTAGAATTTGAAATCAAGCATTCAACCAGTACAAAGGTATCATTAGTTCATTCAAACACCACAGACCACCGGGTAAGTAATAGTGAGGTTAGACGCAGGGTATTAGGGAATGATGGTAAATCAGGTTGTTAATCTTCGTCGACTGAGATGGTTGGGCCACGTGTTACGTATGCCTGAACACCGATTACCACGACGTGCATTGCTAACCGGTGTTGGAGATGGTTGGAAGAGAATTAGGGGTGGCCAGACCGAAACGGGGCATCAGTGCTTGAAGACACTAACCTCTAGTCTGACCCATGTTGGTAGATTCAGACTACTTGGTTGGGGTCCGCGTGACTATCGTAACCAATGGTTGGAGACTCTTGGTGACATGGTTCAGAATCGATCACAATGGCGTCGGTGTATACACTCTCTATCTTTCCTTAAACTAAGAGATTAAAATTGCTTCATATCTTTCTTTCTACGAGCTAATTTTTTCTTCCTGTACTATATCCTTATTACAATCTTTCTTTTATATATTACCACCTCTGAATTAACTAATTTTATGAATCCGGCGTCCATTTTGTGTTAATGAGGTATGGCAACTTGGACCGATGCATTCGTGTGCCTGGTCCCACGTTGTAGCTGACTGACTGACATCACCAACTAATAACGACTGTTGAATAGTCTCCAAAACTCTCAACTGATGTCAAGCCATATGTCTATTAAATACACTTCATTATGCATTCATTTTTGGAGGAAGTTGGTCCGCTTTTTCTAAACCTACACAAAACTTTATTAACTTGTTCAGATCCTTTCATCCTACCTCATTTACAAGTTGACAGAGGTGCTATCAAGCATGTTTTAAATGGGTCAAATATTATGTGTCGTGGTTTGACATCACCCGGTGCTCGGATGACAGAAGTTCCTAAGGAGTCAGTTGTTGCTGTAATGGCAGAAGGCAAAACAAATGCACTCGCAGTTGGTATTACTACGTTATCTACTGATGAGATGTGAGTTTTCGAAAAGCTTTATATATGTGGAAAATATTTTGAATTTACCTTAAAAGTATTTTTAAAATCTTTGATTCTTACCAAGGTACTGAAGATAAATAACTGGTTGAACTTGATTGTCTGAATTGCTACATTTGAAACTTAGTGTATTACTGGTAGGAAAAAACCTGATTTGTTGTTTAGTAACATTTTACTTTGTGCTATTTTATTTCAGCGCTTCAATGAGAAAAACAATGTTCATGTAAACAAATTGCTAAAATTAATTTTCAGTAATATAGAAGGAATTCAGAGGCTTTAGTTTTAAATGTACTTTTTATACAGAAATATATCGAAAAGTGCTAGCGGTCTTATTCGGATGTAGATTTTCAAGAGCAAGTTCTCTGTAGAATTCTGTGTTCTTGATGGACTATAGCTCTTGATACTTGTGTAGTAGTTGCACTGCAAAATAAAACTGCTTTTTAGGCTGTACAGAACCTGCATGATATCCAACGATTATGAAAATCAGTATGAAGATGAATTACCTTCAGGGTATATATATATATGGCTTGAATTGAAGTTAGTTGATTGACATCAGTACGTCGTAAATTTTAGTTGTAGGTTGATAATAAAGTTAAAGAGGTACTGCAAATACGAAATCCAATTTAATTTGACCAAGCATATCGAACAAGTAATACACAATTCAACAATAAAAGCCAGATCCAGGAGAAAAGGCTGCATTTTTGCTAGAGAAATTTCATGTTTTTAGAAAAACTAAAATGGAAGTAAACATAGCCTGTATATAGTATTTTACAAGGCCGAGTGACTACTATAGAGAGGTATCAATTACCTGGTATTAAACAGGTTGTAAACATAAGGATAACTATTGTTATCATAAATACAACACAATCACCGTCTACGAATCAAGCTAATGGTCACAAATGTCCAAATGAAACTACAAATCTGTATTCACCAGCGTCTAATTGTGGAATGTATTCTCATTCCTAATCATGGAGTTCAACCATTTCAAGAGAAAATTAATTACCCACCGAGAACTATCTCAAAATATCTCTAATAGATTAAAGTAAAATGGATTCAAATTCTGATTTATAAGTAGCACTATGTAAGATATGGTAATGTCAGTTCAGTTGTTTAAATTGTGTGTCCATTACTTAGGAGTCCTATATATAGGTAATACAGTTAAGTCCCTTATAGTTTTCAATCGTAACCTAACTGTTGTCGATCCGTGACGAAACTTGCATGCAGATCAAAATGTCAGTACTTCTGATTTTTAGCTCCAAAGGCAGTTGTGCTGTTTTTATTCGCCATATAATTCCATTGTGTATTGAGATGGAAGCTTTACACCTACCAATTAGTATTGTTAATAAGGTTTTATTTGATAATTTGGAATAAAATGAGTATCAGGTGGATTGTTAATAATAAAAATGATATATTTGTTGTATCTCGGTGACTAGAAAATTAAATTTCTGACGTTTCGTGACTCAGTGTGAGTCACTTTGTCAGAAAAAATATGAATAAACAAACACAAGTAGTATAAAGAAAAGAAACAAAAATATTTAGTACAACCAAAAAGACAGGTCTAATTTATTGTTTACAGTTGTCAGTATTCTTGACTTTACTCCTGCTAGTTTTTTTAAGATCGTAAGCTTAAATCGGGTTTTCGGTTACACATTTTCTTTTAAAGTCAAGACTTTCAATTTTATATCATATTACGATGAGATGTTTCTACTGAACTTACAATTCATTGGTTAACCTTTTGGAATGAAATTTTTGTTTTTATTTGGTCGTAATGTTGAAAAGTTTCTACATAAATTGAATTGCATGTTTAAAATGTTTAGTTGTAAATTAATTTACTTAAATTATAAAGGCTAAGTAAACTAACTGTATTCCTAAAATAGTTTTAATATTTGTTATTCTACTATTGTCCTCTTCTTTCTATTCCAATAGCTTGTCAACCAACAATGGCATTGGGGTCAAAAATATACATTATTTGAATGATGGATTATGGCGTCTCAAAGGCGTACGATAGTTGACTTTGTTAAAAGAACTCTGGGTACATTCTTATTTGTACATAGACCTTGTTATCACTCCCTCGAATGATTTGTAATGTACTTGCAGAAGTGATAATATCTGAGTTTATAAATAAACTTTTGGTGTGAAATCTTTTGTCCTTTTATTGACTGATTTCAAAATTATTTGCTGTTTATTTTAATAATTATATTTGTTTTGATCTCACATATCATAACGACAAATTATAACACTTTGTCTACTTTTTGGGTGCTCTTATCATGTCTGACTGCGTTACAGTTTTCGTGCTGTTTTCACTTCAAACAGCACTGCTCATTGAACTAAATAACGATTGAGTTACAAATATTACATCTCAACCACTTCTAAATTTCTAGCTTAAAATTTATCCTATTTTATTCCTTTTTTGATTTCATCTAGGTTTGTTAGGGTTTACTGGCTGTTTAGTTCCGACTAGTGTTTTATCCTAAGATATACCTTTCTGGGTTACCATCTATAATTCCCTAAAATAACTTATCCGTTAGGATCCTTTGTAGCTTCTGAAAAAGTAACGAGGTCAGTGTCTGCTATTTTATAAACTGTAGCCAAATTATAACAAATGAAGATTACTCAGACTGAATCTGCCAGTGCTTCAACTGCCATCTTGTGATTAGATCTCTAACCTATATCGCTAAATATAAGTGACTCTGACTAAAATATTCCGTATTTTTTACACCTTAATCTATTCGATGTTCCCAACTGCTTGTTGTGTTTTTGTCTTTTCCTTTTCATGTTTAAAATAGCATGAATAAATCCTGTCTATACGTTAAAATGTTGCAACGGCTTTTCCTAACATTTGTTTTGATGTATTTCATAATGTCGGTTTAGCTCGGGAAGCTTAGTGCTAATGTCCCGATAAATAGACCACCTTATTAAAATGCTTTTAAGCCATTACTTGAGGTTATGATTTATTGATCTTGAGACAAAGTTTCCGATCACATCGCCACATTTCGCTTTTGATCCAGGTATATCAAATGTATCATTTTGTGTTAGATCAGGTTCGAGAAATTGCACCTTGAAATTGAAGGTCTTACATTATTTAGAATTGAAGGTTTCGAATTTTAAATAATTCAAAACCAGTTTTTGATTCAATCTACCTTGAATATTCATTCTAAAAATGTACCCTTAATAATGCCATAGAGTGAGCATATCTTTTATCTTCTCAGTGCAGTGAGCTCTACAATTTCTTGAGGTCCTTATCACGACAGCTGTTCATTGTATGGTACTTACTTCTGTCGACTTCTAACTAAGGATTTATGCAAGGAGGTTGACACATAAGTTGTTATTACTTACTTAAGCGTTGTTTATCTTTGATATTGCGTTGACTTTTATCTATTTTAATAATCGTGTGAGAATACTCTGTAAGCACTAGAAAATGGCATTTTCAAAAATTCGGTCATATATGTCAATCACTTACAAATCACACTACGTAAAATTGGTTTTTATTTTATCAACTGTATTTTTTAAAAACCTTGCTTGTTGTTTAAGCTGTTTAAAATCCTCTTGAAAAATTATTATTTCCCCATAAGTACGGAGCTAACACGAAAATTACTCACGTAAAGGTCGTGTGTGACCGACCTCAATCAGTTGTACCTTGGGCACTGCGGTCAGGCTCTCAGGTCACTAAGACCACCCCTAACCCAATTTTCTTTTCAGGTAACTCCAGAAGAACCCTTCCATGATGTGGGCAACCGGGAAGTGATAACTGCTCTCATAATTCAGACAGCACCCAAGATCACTATTCATATTCAGTCTCCGTCTTCAATTCCTATTATTCCTCCTAAGTCATCTTTCAACTCTAAACTTGCTCTTTTGACTTCCTCCGCAAGTGTCACCATGGCCAACGCTTCTAGTGCGCGAGACACTGTCCCAGGTCTACTGAAACCTCGCTCCAAACTACACATTGGAGCCTTCAATGTACGTACTCTATGTCAAATCGGTCAAGTTGATGTAGTTATCTGATACACCTTTCAGTGAGACAAAACCATAGAACCTCATGATCAACGGGATTTGACATCGCCTTGTGGTCAACGAATACAACTATACTCGGACATCAGAAAGTACGTCTATGTTCCAGAATCTGCAGAAGGGTGAATAATTGATCTGTACATCCACCCTCAGGTCTGAACCCAGCCTAATTTCCTCGGGTTTGCTCTACATGAGCTATAGTTAGACGTCGAAGTATTATTGAGGCTAACATTTTAGACACTAGATTAGTTAAACTGTCTCCTCACAAGAGGATTTTTATCCCTTCTTCTAGACTGGGATGATCAGTGATCAAGACCTGCCAAATGAAATTACATCCAGACCCGAGATTGTAGCTCGGATTTAGTTAGTGTAACTGCCAAAACTGCACCACCATCCCTAACAATCTCAGGGGTTAGTCCATCGTACGATTTATGTATGTTGTATCTCGGAAACACGCGTACAGGATCCTAGTGGTGTCATTCACTTGACCTCACCTCACCAAAATGGGGAGCCGACGAGATACGCTCTCCATCCATCTGGCGACCCGATGGCTAGTTCTCGTGGACTGGCAGGTGTTGGCATAGGACTAAGTATGAGGGTAGAACAAGCACTATTAGAATGGGTCCCCGTTGACGGTCGCCTATGCGTTGTTCAGCTAAACGGCTTTGTGAGAACTCGGAAGGATAGGGACACACTTCACTGCCTTTTCGTCGTTCCTGCCTACGCTCTCACGGACTGCAGCTCGGATGAAGTGAAGGATGACCTTTACAGAAAGCTTTCCGAACTTATCCATAAAGCTACCCGCTCAGACAGTACTCGTAGCAGGTGACTAGTGCCAAGGTAGGTAGCTTAAACCAAAACAGCAGCGACATTCGTTAGTGATTTAAACTAAAGGGTTACGAAGAACAAATGGGTTTCTACTAGGTCTCTTGCACTGATAGATTCTCGTAAACTCATCCCATCAGGCTCTGAACATGATGAAAAGGGAAAACAAATCAGATTTAAATTAACCAAGAGTCTAAGGAACGACCGTGAGCAGTGGTGGGTAACGAAAGCAAAAGAGATAGAAAAGGCAGCGGCTGTAGGTAACACCAGACAGCTTTTCAGACTAATAAATTCAACTGGAATTAAGAAGTGATGTGTGAGACGATCTCAGAAAAAGACAACACTCTTATCCGCTTTCAGCCCAGACATTTAGAACGATGAGCGGAACAGTTTAAGGAGCAGTTCATCTGACCTTCAACTACTCTACAACTACCCACCGTTCCCAGACAGCCTGAATGGAACATTGAAGTAGTCCAAAAAGCTATAGCTAATCTGAAACTAGGAAAAGCAGATGGATTGGCTCCAGATGTCTTTAAGTATGGTGGTCTAATTTTAGCGATTAGGTTGACTAATATTTTAGGTGAAATCTGGAAACTGAATGTAAACCCATCTGACTGGTCTCAATCACTGATTGTCCGAATATATGAGAAGGGGTCAAGGTAATCTTGTGATAACCATAGAGGAATTAGTTTGACTAATATAGCATCTAAAATACTAGCCTCAATGATTATTGGGTACCTGACAAAGACTCGTGAACTGTAAACACGAGAAATTCCGACTGGCTTTGAGCCTCGTCATGGCTGCATCGACTACATGTTCACCATTCTTCAGATTTTAGAATACAGGCATGCTTATTGGCGTCCGACAATGGTGGTCTTTCTTGACTTAAACTCAACATTCGACAGTGTTGTCATTGAAGGATCTACCTTGGAAGTATATAAATTTTGTGAAGTCTCTTTAATCAATCACCACCATCTGAGTCGGAGTTATGGTGAACGACAAAGCTGTTCACTGTCTCAAGTTTTGTTCAACTTCATCTTAGACATACTGATGGAAATAATGTTCTTGTCGACTGAATTTTCAGGAATCGATCTCCTATTAGGAGGTTCATTTATTGACCTAGAGTACTCTGATGACATAGTATTTTTTTGGTGAAGACGCTGATAAAGTGCAGTCTTTCGGTAGCACTGAGCAACAATACCAGGATGTTTGGGATGTGTTTCTCCCCTCTAAATGCAAGTTTTTGCTTCAGGACTGGTCTGCGTCAACACCTGAACTAAGGATAGGGAGTAAAGTAGTCAAATGCGTCGACAACTTCACGTATCTTGGAAGTCTGACCATCCCTATTGGGTTAGTGTCTGACGAAATCTCTGCACGGATTCAGAAAGCTCATTTGACTTTTGCCATCTTGCGCTACCTATGGCGAAGGTGACATATCCGTCTATCAATTAAGGACGAGTATACTGCACGACATTTCGTTCTGTTCTACTTTACGGCTGCGAAACGTAGCCACCAAGAGTAGAAGATACTCTAGTATTTGACCACAGATGTCTTAGAAATATAGCTCGCATCTGCTGGGATCATCGGGTAAGTAATAGTGAGGTTAGACGCAAGGTATTAGAGAATGATGGTAAATCAGTTGATGAGGTTGTAAATCTTCATCAACTGAGATGGTTGGGCCACTTGTTACGTATGCCTGAATACCGATTACCACGACGCGCAATGTGTTGGGGATGGTTGAAAGTTAGGGGTGGCCAAACCAAAACATGGCATCAGTTCTCGAAGTCACTAACTACTTATGTAAGCCATGTTGATAGATGCTGACTACTTGGTTGGAGTTCATGTGACTATCGTAACCAATGGTTGAAGACTCTTGGTGACATGGCTCAGAATTGATCACAGTGACGTCGGTGTATGCACTCTTTGTCATCCCTTAAACCGTGAGATTGAAATTGCTTTATATCTTTCTTTCTACAAACTAATTCTCTCTTCCTGTACTATATCCTTATACACAGTCCATTCTTTTATGCATTACTACCATCGATGTGACTACTATGAATTTGGTGTTCATCTTGTTGTGCTAATGATGTATTTGCGTTGTCCTACGTTTTAGCTGATTGACTTATTCTTGAGAGGATTGTTCAAGTCTTCAGTACTGGATAACTGGTACAGTTAAATCATTCAGTAATATTTCATTGGTATTTTGTTTCCAGTTTATATGGAAAGTATGCTTATGGCATTGATTAAAATACGTAGATAACCGTCTGATTGGTTTATTTGTAAGTTGTACAACTATTTAGTATTAATTTTAAGCAGTCGATCTTTTATACATCAGTGCATGAAATGTCATGTTTTCAGTATGTTGTATTCATAAATTTCAATCACTTGTTATCACTCAAGAAACTTACCGATACTATGTTGTGCTAATGTTAAATTTTCATGCCTTTTGTACTTCTTTGATACACTAAGTCTCAAGTTAGCTTGTTTTAATCAAAGCATAAGACAATTAAAACAATATTTTCATCGTCCTTCGAATTGTTGACTTCATTTTCCCTATATTTCCATGTATTCATGTATGTTACAGCAAGCGTTCCTGTTTACTGCTAGATTTATTTGCTATTAATAACTGTGCTTTTCATGCTCAAGTTTCGAATTTTGGGTAATATTACATAGAGACTACAATTGGGAATCTAATACGTCTAATAAGTATGGTGCTGGTTAAAGTAAATGTATTCCATTCCGAATGTAAATGTTATCGTACTAGCCAGTTGATGGCAATCAGTAATTCATCTTAGTGTTCGTCATCATGGTTAACAATATCCACCAGCATGGATTGTCATAAAAAGAGCCATCTTTAGACTTACAAATTCCGTGGTTAACATAAGATAGATAACTGTAGTCTATAATTAGTGACTATAGGGTCATGGCTTAAAATAGGTTATTTTGCGGTCGATGCATTTATTTTAAAACATTCTTTGAATCTTGTTATTTTATACTGGTCATTTCCCGATCTTATGCTTTGCTGACTGTACTTTGTATATTTATTTCTCTACCAAAATTAATATTATTAACTGGTTGACTGTCTCTAATTTTGTTTAAACTAAAGCTTATTTAATGACTATCATATCAGTTAGTACCCTTCAGACATCCAATTTTTATTAAGTATCATAAAATTAATTGATAGAAGATTTTTACCATTGAGGGTAGATAGTTTAAAACTTAGTACTACTCATGTACCACGTTTTACATAGAATCACTAGAAAGGTTAGTTGGTTTAGTTCTTATGCAGTAAACATTTAAGTAGTAATAAATATCATAGTATACGTAACAAATAAATGTTTCCTTAAGTTATATACACAAATGTGTTTGAGAAACGTTTTATTTATCTTGTCCATAGGTAGACATCTGTGTATATGCATTTCAAAGGTTCAATAGTAGTAATAATCTGTATAGAACAGCAAGTGAGTAAAAGTTTTTGCAATTAAGCATCCTGAATAGGTATCCATTTCAGCTGAAATCCCTTTTGAATAGTTAATTCACCTCTGTGAATCTTACCTTAAATAAGAATGTGAGAATTTCATGTATTAAATCAATCTACTCACAAAATTTTATTAGAAATTGACTGCACTTTTGAAGTATTACTTTCTCGAGAAATGGTTGGGGTCAAAAGTTATGAATGCTAATATGACACTAGAAATAGAGTATAAAATATTAAAATAATTTTAAGTTTTAAATTTCCTCAGATTATTTCGAGTTTTATGAATGTTAGGGGTTTTTGTAGTTTTTCAGATAATCGTACTAGCTTAATGTTAACTGGATATATGTATAGTTTGAGTCTCAGTACTTGAGATTATGGAGATTTGTAGCTCGAGTGGATGATTTTTGTGAAGTTTCGAGGCGTCACTTGTATTGTAGCTTAATCCTTTTCTGAGTAGGTGTTCTATGTTTGTCAGCGGTTGCTATGACAGCTTTACCACCCATTTGTTTGTGTTTTCTTCCGTGGGTGGTTATGAAATCTCGATTAGTTTTTTCTCAAGGGTGTTTCGTCATTGCTCTCTGTGTTGTCTGCATGATATCTCTATGGCTGTTGTCAAGATTGCCAAATATTCTGACGTAAGTATCCTCTCTAGCTTCCTCTTTTTGTTATCCATGATGTGTTGGTATTTGTGGATTCTATATTGTGCATCAGTTATCATTATGTGTGCCATTTTTCTCCCACTTCGTTCAGCTATTCTCCATCCCATTGGGCAGTTGATTGGAGGTCTCTATCTTACACTTGTTAGCAGTATATGCTGACGAAAACACTCGTAAAGAAAATACAGTTGTTCTCAAGTGGATCGATTTCCAATTTATCGACCAATCAGAGAAATTATGGACAAATATGAGATCGAGAATTAAATCAGTGGGAGATACAATCAAAATAAACAATGACAGGTTAGAGATCGAGGTCTACATGACAAGCTGTAAGCTATATATGTGGAGAACTTCGACCACTTCTACTTGAAGTTTGTATTGATGATATCGTTCAGAAGAAGATTAAAAAGCTCCACGACTGAACCATCCAGCTCAGGAGAAAAACCTCACTACTTTCTTTGTGTTTTGATCACTATCCACTATAATGGATGTAACTTCACTAATCAGTCAGTTACAATGCAGGACCAAGCACATATATGCATCGGTCCAAGTTGCCACACCTCATTAGCTCTGATCTCGAGTGCTGTTAGAGGTATGAGATCAGTTATCACTTCCCGGTTGCCCACACCGTGGAAGGGTTCTTCTGGAGTTACCTGAAAAGAAAATTGGGTTAGAGGTGGTCTTAGTGACCTGAGAGCCTGACCGCAGTGCCCAAGGTACAACTGATTGAGGTCGGTCACACACGACCTTTACGTGAGTAATTTCCGTGTTAGCTCCGTATTTATGGGACCTTACCGCCGGAGACGGAGGCGAGTTGTGCATTTTTAGGGTCAACCTTTTCTAACTCTGCCCTTTCTTTGTGGGAAGGCAGCATCGTTGCTATGCTGGTTGTCTGAAGGAAATACCTTACTGCCTTCACAATTTTGTACAGTCAGCAGTATGACTTCGCATTCGGACTTTGGATTAGCTGATTTTAGTTTTACCGCTCTTCAACCGACCTGTCTGGTATGGTAGGACCTTGAGGAACTGTTTTTCCATGCAGTATAGCTTGATTGATTCATTACGACAGCCAAGCCCGACCACCATAGCAAGGTAGCAGCAACGGTCAGGAACTTCATTCATCAAATGAGACCTCTGTCTTTCTGTTATCTTAATCAGCAATTCCTAAGAATTCAGTCTTTTCCTTTCGTAAACAATTACGAGGACAATATGTTGTAGTTTTTTACGCAGATTTTTGCCAATCATTCAAATTATTTTTTTGGTTTTTATTTCAGCTTCACTGTCGAAAATACAAAGGGAAAACATGCGTTTTTATAGCACTGTGTTTCTTTGCAGCATTCCTATATTTCACTAAACATTATATCGTCAGTGATGTAATAATAAGGATATCCGATTGGAAGTGGGGTCCAGCTGATAGTCAGAATTGTCCAGTATTTGATCACTCTAAAGAAGACCCTACTATTAATCGTATGGCAGTTTTAGTACCATTTAGAGACCGTTTCACTGAATTGCAAGAATTCATACCTCATTTAAACAACTTCCTCAATAATCAAAACGTTCGTCATACATTTTTTATCATTAATCAAGTGGATGATCTTCGGTGAGCTGAATTCCGAAACATCTTATGTCTAAATAATATATGATTATTTGTTATATATATATATATATATATATATATATATATATATATATATATATGGCTTGAATTGAAGTTAGTTGTGGGCACACTGCGACGTGGCACCAGTCCATGAATTCATTGACTGTTTATTTATGCCATGTAACTAAATTTGAGCTCCCTGGTTCGGATCTATGTGATAATCTCAGTCAATAGTTAGTGACATTTATCAGAACCGTTCGAAATGGTGCCCATGCATTCTCCAAGTCATCGGATTCAATATGAATTTATTCATACATTTTCACTCAGTGGATACAAGGTCCTTATGGAACTGGAAAGAACTAGAAATGATTTCTCAGGATAGAGTTAGATGGAGATTGCTAATGAGCGGCCCATCCTCTTTCATGAAGGGTAACTGGCGTAAGTATGTTTTCACTCGGTGTTTTGTACCATATTCTCAATGTTCATTCTTACTCATAATTATCGCTGCCACATTACTTCGATTTCTTTGCTATTCATCTTGTTAATTTCTTATTTTCGTATTTTTGTTTGTCAACTTGGAATACAACACATTTTTTCGGGCTCGACGTTTGTTGTGCCTGGCATACATTATATACGCTAGCAAAGCCATATTATTATAAACAGTCTTAATAATTTATTTCAGGTTTAATAGAGGAGCTTTGTTAAATGTAGGAGCACTTGAGTCGCTTGAAGCTGAAGTTAATGGAATTATTGTTGAAAGTATTACTCAAAAAAATTCATTGTATCACTTATCTTCACAATGTTTAAAACTTCCTTTTACAAAATATTTGGCTTTACATGATGTTGACTTACTACCTGAAGATCCGGCATTAAAATATAATATGCCATCGGAATTAGGACCGATTCATCTTATTCCATTTTATCTTCATCCACGTTATTATTATTTTAAAGAATATGCCGGTGGTGTTTTAATCATTAAAAGAACTCAATACAGTTTAGTTGGTGGTATGTCAAACTCATTTTGGGGATGGGGACGAGAGGATGATGAATTTCAGATACGTTTAAAATCGAAAGGATTTAAGGTAATAATAATCAGAATTCATATTGATATTAATTCACATATGAATTTCTTTTCTGTTTGAAATAAAACAGTTCTTTTACTTTTGATTTTGTTTTCAGTTAATGTTAGTAAATTCGACTTGGCAGATTAGTCAACAAACTGTATTTGGTATAGTATTTTATTGAGGTTTCCCGTTTATTAGTTTATTAGAAAGTTGCTTTCGGAACAAATAATTTAATGATACCAGTATTCACATAGAATTCAGCCGTCCTCCATGCACAAATTTGCAGTGTAGTCCACTGTATGACTTCCGGATGATGTTGGCGACTTTCCCAGGTACACCATAGTGTTGAAGGTTCCATATCTTTATATTCACATTGTCAAATGCTTTCTCATAGTCAATGAAATCGATGTATAGTGACGAATTTCATTCCATTGATCAGTAGTGTCACTGTTTTGACTGTGCATGACCGATCCCCACGGAATCCGTCCTGTTGTTCTCAATGTTAAGCGTTTACTGAATCTTTCATCCGGTTCAACAACACTGCTGAACACTTTTCCAAGTACTGATAGTCTTGTGACGAGCAGTGTCCGGAATCTGATACTGATGCATGGTTTGCTACGTGCTAACCTCCCAATTGAAAACTTGAGCAGGAAAGTATATATATATATATATATATATATATATATATATATATATATATATATATATATATATATATATATATATATATATACCATTCTAATCTTTAGGAAATTGACCCATTTCATAGCCAATGAAATGCACCTAAAATTTAGATCACTTCTGATTGCCATCAATTAACCTTATCATTAGACTTATTGTTATTTAGACGCAAACATTAGTACAAGGAGGCACCAAATAGATATGCTCCACATAAGTCGTCTGATTTGTGTGATACTGCCCGGGTTGCCTAAACCGAAACAAGTGGTTTTTTTCGAGGGGCATACCCCTAGCCTTTGACCTAAAAGTCTAATCCGCAAGGCGGTGGAGCAACGTAAATAGATGCAGTCCCATGGTAGCCGGTGACCAACAATGGCTTCTTATGTCGTTTGTTTCCTTAGTATCCTGGAGCCCATGTGCACCACTGGTTTGGAAACAGGTTTTTCGAAATCCCCATTGTGGATCCTCCATCTCCACCGAAAATTCTTTTTCGCACTTTCAGTTTCGTAAACAACACCCCTGCCGTGAGAAGGCAGTGGGTAGGACTTTCCTGGCAGTGGTTGTATGCACGTGGTTATATGAGAAAATTTCGAGAGTGAGAGTTGACTCTCCGCCGTACCATGGCAGATAGTAGTGTGATGTCTCCGTAGTTTGATGAAGCTGTTTTGTTCAAGGGTTCTTCAGAGTGTTCCACCCACCTATGCTTCTCTACTTGAATTACAGTAATCGGTTTGCCTTCTTTATCCTTGCCCGGACTTTTTGGCTTAACATATTTCCCTACTGGCTTCATTGTTCTGTCGTAAAATCGTCTCAAATTTCCTTCAATCTCAGCTTTTTCCACTGTCGTTGCTGTGTCTTCCACGTATTTCCGTTTGTCAGCTCTTGTGCTCTTCCTTACTTGTGTGTTTGCTTCTGTGTGTTCATTATGCGACTTGAATTTCTCTGATCTGGTTCGGCTGTTTTTAATTGCTGTCTTCTTGCTCTTCCATCCTTGGATCTTGTTCACTGTTTTGATAGAGATCCATTTCTGATAATAACGCTTGATTCGGTCCAGAATGTCATGAAAGGTTGAAGTTAGTGCTTGCTCCACCTCTTCCCAATTGTCCCCTGTATCAGTTTCTTCTTATTTGAGTAGATATTGTAAGGCTTGAAACCTGTTGTTGAGAGCTAACTTGAATTCGTTGAGTCTGCTAGTATGTCGAAGGAAGGCTGTGTTGAACCTTTGTAATGCTGTTTTTCCAGTTGTCCAGTGTTTCTTTAGCTTCAGTTTTATCTCGGCAACCACCAGCTAGTGATGATCTGAAGCTGTGTCAGCTCATCTCCTGGTTCTCACGCCTTCCATCGATCATTGACCTTCTGAATTATTTAGTAATGCAAATCTGATCGATCTGGTTCTGTGTAATGTGATTCGGTGAAACCCATGTAGCATTGTGTATGTGTTTGTGTAGGAATATTGTGTCACCCATAACCGTCTTGTTGAATGCACATAAACTTGCGAGCCTGTCACCATTCTCGTTCCTTTCTCCCATTCACTCCATGTTATCCTGATGCCCGGTGTTGTCCATTCCGACATCGTGGTTTAGATCTCCCATCAGGATAGTTAGGTTCTTCCTGGGACACTTTGCTATGATCGATTTCAGCCTCGAGTAGAACTGATCTTCATCAAGTTCATTGCTATCATTGGTGGGTGGATAACATTCCTTGTGATTCCCTCCTTTGTCTTGAATGATGCTTTAATGAGTTTAAATTCATGAGATTTCCATTCTATGAGTGCATCAGTGCAACTCTCTGTGTGTGCAGAGCATTTTCTTACTCGTGATAAGAGTACGACAGCATCGCTGCCAAATCTAACCTTTTCTGTTGAGCTGGGGTCGAATGGATTTCACTTATTCCTAATACCTCCATGTTGTATCTCCCTATTTCTGATATTATTTGATTGGTCTCGCTGGTTTCATCGTAGGTATCATAGGAAGAAGTATTCTTTCTCAATATGTGCAACCCTTAGCAACACTTGAAACTCTAAATGCTTAGTTCCAGAATGTCCTGTTGTCTTACAAACATGTATCCGTTAAACATGTCACTTTGTTTTTGTCTTTTTTGCAGACATTTTTATTTAACTAAATAATTGATTTAATTCACTTTCCGCCTGTCATTTGAATTCACATATCATACTGATTCACAGTACTGGTAGATTGTACGTATGTGACCTCTTCATTAGGTCTTCTTTCATTACTAATCATTTATGAATCTTCTGTCGATCGTCACTATCAGGTTGTTTAAATGTAAAACTCTTGGGAGTTTTGAATAAAGAAACTTCTAATATAGACTACGCTTTTATTATTTCTCATAAAACTTTTGAATTGAAAATTGATGACCCAGTAATAAATGTCCTCACTCTACCTCAAACTTGTAGTGCACCAGATATTTTTTGTGGTTTACTTCAAATAAAAAATACAGACAAAATGTTTGAGGAATAAACATCATGTTGGAAAATTTATAAATTTGATTGATTCCAATGATTTTGGACCGAGTTTTCGATGGTGATGCATTTAAAATAGCGTTTTATTTGTTATGAAATAACTTCTTGTAGGTCACTTTAACGGATGTCAACTCTCAGATACCATATTCACACTTCACATAGCTGTCCTTGACCACCTAAATTGTACGACCTGGTGCATAATATATAAACAAATATTTAATTACTGAGTTCTATTATTCGCGTTATAACTGTAAAAATATACTAACGATTAAATTCTAAGGATTTTGCATTATTTTCTTGTCTATGTTCAGAACTACGTCATAATTAATTGGCATATATTCATCTTCAGCGGATTCCTTGATACACGATCTTTATTACAAGTCACGGCACACTCGCATTGTGGTTAGTAATGAAACCCAAGATGCGTGTTTCGTCTTATTTGGGATTCGTCAACGCGGTGCACAATTAGCTAGAGTTTAAAGCGATAGGCACTAGGTTCAGGTGTCAGTGTTAATACAATACTAATATTGGGGTACAATTACATTTGGTTGGTGTGTCCCAAATAGAAAGAGACGAGCGTTCTAAATTCTACAATCCAAATATACTAAGGTTTTTGAAAAAGTTTACATTTCATAATTTTTTTCAACCAACTTATTAGATTGTAACGCCAATTAATGTTACCATGGGGCTGAAAGCTTTCCGTCATATTCATCAAGAAGATCAACATAAACGAGACGTTAAGACCTACTATAATCCCGATGTTGTAAGTTGCCAAAAATTAGTTATTTTTTAAATACAATCAACTTAATTTTTTCATTACTATCTAATTCCATAAATTTTAAGTCGAATAAGATTAACAGAGAGGTGAAAAAACTTCGAATTTCCTCTTAATGCTTATCAGTTCTCCTTTTACCAGTCGTTTAAACAACAAAATCCTGAAAACCAGCGAAATTGAAAGGAGATTAAGACATACCTGGAATAGATGAGAAGCTAATGAATATAAATCTGCCGTCACGAAATCACCTCCACGAACTCAAATTCAAATCGTCCCACCATATACAGAAAGAATTACTTGAATTATAACAAAAAATGTGAAATTCGTCGAAATTTGTTTTATTCAACAATTAACACAACCACGTTATGAAGTTAGCACTGATGATGTCCGAAACGACAATGTGTCTTTGTGATAAAAATTCATGTCAGAAAACGCAACATCAAAACGTTGAACTGGGCTGTTAATTGTCACCATCGTTTCAAAATTATCAGACATTAGAAAAAAAATAAGTGTCGAATGCATATATATATATATATATATATATATATATATATATCACTTCGCTAAATTATATATGTTGCTTGTTCCATCATGGGATAACTCAATTTCATTCTACTTCTGTAACACAAAGCTAAATATTATTTCTGTACTTACTTGAAAAAATCTTAACATCTGAATGACACCTCTCGGTAGTGCTTTTCAGTTCAAGTAAAATAGATCAACCATTTAAACATATTGCTCATATCCTGTAATGTTCGATCATGGAAGATATATATATATATATATATATATATATATATATATATTTATAAACTGCACTAAATTTTTCATTTGAAAGAGATTTCAAACATCTGTTCATCCTAATAGTTTGCATTTATGATATTGAAAGGTAAATTATCCATTTCTTAAAAGAGGATTCTATTGTTTTACTGTTCAAATGTAGTTTGCTAGGAGTTGATAATCTCGAACTAATACATATTAACCTGTTCACTAGTACTTTGTGTAACCTCTATTAATCATAGAGGCTTATAAATTCAAAGATTACTTAACAAATGCTTAATTTTGATCATGTTCATTTTTGTTCTATGTATACAAGCATGTAAATGGTTGTGTTAAGAGAAAATGTTTCATAATTTAGTACTATTGAATGAAATTCATTGTTGCTTAATTGGATTAATTTATATATATATACATATTTCTTTTTTTCTTTAAGATGAACTTGATTCGCAATCCGATTGGAGGTTTGACTTCAGTAAATTATACTGTTATAAAAAGACGTCTAATAACAATCAGCAGTATTCCAGCTATTGTAATCAATGTTAAACTATATTGTGATTCAATGAATTGCAAATTAAAATCATGACATAGTATTACAAACAAGTCACCGTATAAATTTTCATATTCATTCAGATTTATATATTTAATAGTATTTCTTTGCATATTATTAACTTTAAAAAAATTTGACTTGCAGTTATCCTGATGTAAATACTTTCATTTATTCATAACTGGATGGTTGGCCATAGCTAATGTGTTGTTATTATCATTATTGTTACTATGGTTGTTCAGAGTTAATGAATGATAGGTATTTCCAGACCGGACCTTCTGGTAGAAATATGCTGAATTCTAAAGTCATATTAATGTTGTTGTAATCTATTAGTTATGTAAATATAAGCACCATGATAGACGCTTAGAAACAGTTTAGAAAACTGTATTTTGGAATTTAGAAGTGAGTTCAGATCAAGTGAAATATTCAGCCTGCAGTAGGCGGGTTTATGTATCATGAATTGAGACCGTTATTTCCCAACTATTCTAGGATTTATCAATTGGTTATATTATGGAAATATTGTACAAATTAGCACAATTAGTTTCTGATGCGTCATGATGATCGATTTTGGTTGAGAAATGAAGTGAGATAGGCAATATAACATTGTAAACGGATAATTTCTGAAGTAAAAGCTGAAATTTTAAGAATACCAATTGTTGCTTCTTGCTAGCAATTTTTGAGTAACTCCTGTCCTAGCTTCCCGTAGGAAGGATTATCAGAAGTATCAAGTTAAGAGATTTATACTGATAAGATTGTGTTAATGAAGGAAGGATGCGAGAAAAGAACAACGAACGGAACAATAAAGCTGCGTCATTTGTGAAGAAAGTGTGATGTTATGTTAAATCAGTATATTAAACCTAAACTGAATTATTTTCATTAGATGCATTGTTATTCAGGTCTCCGCAGCTAATTTTAACTAGACAGGGTGGTGAAATGTATTAGAGAAATATGGGATCGACCTAACAGAGAAAAGTCAAGAGTATGGAAGCTGTTGAGAGTTATGTCAGCTTACAAATTGAATTAATAGAAGGAGAAGAAACGGCTTAGTTAGCTGTTTGTATTGACAAACGGGATTGTGGAGATATGACTGATAAGCTTATTTTGTAAATAGTTTTTAATATTATTTGTATTTATCTTGTCAGCCTTTCACTGTATGTATATTTAACATTAAATGACTGTAACTGTTGTTTTAGTAAATGACCTTGAACACACTTTTCCGTTGTGCAACCACAGCGTGACATATTCTTGCTGGCTAACAAATACACTACTACTCATACATGCCTCGTTCTATCTTCGTTTGTGATTGAGTTAACTGAAGTCTAAGTCAAATACTATCTACATTTATAGACTGTAATTGAGATATATCACATCCTACGTTGGATTATATCGCTGGAAAGTTCGTCAACCAGATTGGAATTACCAAGTATTTATAATTGTGGTTTCTTAGTACCAGGCCAAAGCCGAACACGCATCATTTTGGTGAACTTAAGTAAAATCCCAACTTTCTATTGTATTTGTAATAATTAACTTATATATATTATTATTCTATTGATTTTTTATTAACTTTGTTGATACTTTTTGCGTTTATATACCGTTTGGTCCACCACAGGATTAGGACTGATGAATTAACAAATAAAAGACTGAAGAAATGTCTAATGTGGGTAGTGCTGAATCAAAGGCAGACGCATAATCGCTCATACTCAGTCATATCTATAGTTCAAATCCCACGAGATGTGTTATTTGTACTAAATTATAAAATTTTTGCAATTGATTCTGCTCTTATTAGAAATTCCACATATAATACGTTCAGTTGTGCTCATATAGTTCTGTCTTAAATTGAACTATTCGAGAAATTCTTCGTTTTGATGTCAATTTGCATACTTCTAATTGTCAAACGTGATCAGTACCAAATGTTGAATATTCACTAAACTGTTCATACTGGAAAATAATTCAATGTTATACTACTTTAGATATGTGATTTTTTTAAAATACATACTCTGAATTCTGATTGTGAAAGTATCTCAAGTTGATACTTTCGAACTTTATTTGACTCTATCAAAACCTGCTTATTTAACTTTCACAAATTCAGTGTAGCTGAATAAAAGTCCATTAAATTGATGGCTGGAGCAATACGATCCTTGTAACAATTTGAGATCACAGACATATATATTACCTAGCTGTTGATGATTATGTTTATTTTTGGTTTGTGCAATATTTATTTTGAGTTGTTTGTTGATTCTCGTCCTTCATCACGTGTTTACAACCTTTTCACTTTCAAGAGATTGTAGTGGTTTTCTAACAGTATTTTCTATTACAAAGTGCTCCTCGACTAAACTAATCAACAAAAATTCATATAAAAGGAACTGCAATTTTTAACAATAGATTTGCCATAGGATTAATAGCTACTGAAACAATCAACAATCTACCTAAAAATGACGATCACCTACGTTTACTATTACTTGCTTTCCATCAAGTGACCACTTATTAAAACTTATCTCTCTTGCATGTGGTATTATTCCCATCTGTTGACGCTTAATATCTTCCTCACTAAGAGGTGCTATATCACCAAAGACGGTGTAGGGCCGGCGAAATGTCAGTAAGCCCTAGCCAAATCATCCGGCAGATGGGTCATTGAATATCGAGCAAATCATCGATCCTCGTCAAGGTCAGGGACAACCAACGCGCATTAGTTAATCGCATGCCATGGACTGGCCCATGCGGCAGTGGTCTTACTTTTGCTTGTATCTACTTTAAATAATTTATTTCTGTAATAACGTCCCCTGTGTTGTACAGTCTTCAAAGCATCTATGGTACCTTGATACGTCAATGGGGGTAGTCCACGTAAGGTGCTGACCACGAGGTGTGACTTCGGCGTTAGCTAGTTTGTCACACCATTCACGTCCAACGCGAGTAGGCCTCCAATCATTTCGACATGGATCATCTACGTTGGTGATCTACAATGAAGATGCTAGATGGTCATCCAATAGGATTGCCACAAAAATGTTTCTAGCCACCATTACTCTGAACCATTCTAAACCGCAAACTGTGTAATCTAATCATTTTAAAATAGTGGCGACTCCCATAGAATATCCCATCTCGTCACTCTTGTTTTTGTATAGGTAGGCAAAAGTTAAATTCCTTGACGCCATGTTCAATATTTTCGTCGGTTATTAGGGTGACGAGTATACTGCTTGATGTTCTTTGAATAAACATTTGAGACTTAATGCTGAGGGTCATATCGACTTGAAACAATTACAAATTTATTGTTACCATCCTGCCGCAGACGTTGTAGCTAACGCTTTAATCGCGTTAAATGAGGTGAAACCTTCCTTAGAGTTATCTATTTAGGAGAATAAACAATGGTCCTGTTTCATTACTCATCGATTTAGGATTTGACCTGTAATAAAATATTATCCGATGTCCCTCCTAACAATTACAGCAACACTTATTATAGGTACACGGGATGCTGGACAATGTGCGAGGCTGGAGAGACCAATCAAATAATATCAGAAATAGGGAGATACAACATAGAGGTATTAGGAATAAGTGAAATCCATTCGACCCCAGCTCAACAGAAAAGGTTAGATTTGGCAGCGATGCTGTCGTACTCTTATCACGAGTAAGAAAATGCTCTGCACACACAGAGAGTTGCACTGATGCACTCATAGAATGGAAATCTCATGAATTTAAACTCATTAAAGCATCATTCAAGACAAAGGAGGGAATCACAAGGAATGTTATCCACCCACCAATGATAGCAATGAACATGATGAAGATCAGTTCTACTCGAGGCTGAAATCGATCATAGCAAAGTGTCCCAGGAAGAACCTAACTATCCTGATGGGAGATCTAAACCACGATGTCGGAATGGACAACACCGGGCATCAGGATAACATGGAGTGAATGGGAGAAAGGAACGAGAATGGTGACAGGCTCGCAAGTTTATGTGCATTCAACAAGACGGTTATGGGTGACACAATATTCCTACACAAACACATACACAATGCTACATGGGTTTCACCGAATCACATTACACAGAACCAGATCGATCAGATTTGCATTACTAAATAATTCAGAAGGTCAATGATCGATGGAAGGCGTGAGAACCAGGAGATGAGCTGACACAGCTTCAGATCATCACTAGCTGGTGGTTGCCGAGATAAAACTGAAGCTAAAGAAACACTGGACAACTGGAAAAACAGCATTACAAAGGTTCAACACAGCCTTCCTTCGACATACTAGCAGACTCAACGAATTCAAGTTAGCTCTCAACAACAGGTTTCAAGCCTTACAATATCTACTCAAATAAGAAGAAACTGATACAGGGGACAATTGGGAAGAGGTGGAGCAAGCACTAACTTCAACCTTTCATGACATTCTGGACCGAATCAAGCGTTATTATCAGAAATGGATCTCTATCAAAACAGTGAACAAGATCCAAGGATGGAAGAGCAAGAAGACAGCAATTAAAAACAGCCGAACCAGATCAGAGAAATTCAAGTCGCATAATGAACACACAGAAGCAAACACACAAGTAAGGAAGAGCACAAGAGCTGACAAACGGAAATACGTGGAAGACCAGTGAAGACCAACAAGCTCTTTGCGCCGAGATTTTGGGAGAAGACCTGATTCGGATGATCAGAGACTGATAACAACTGAAAGGGATTGTCCAGTTCAGAGTTGGATGCAAAATGATTGTGTGCATCCTATGCACATTTACTATCGGTAACATGTTATGCGAGGTAGTGAGCATGTAGGTGGGTATTGAGACGTCGATGCTTTTGTAGACGATAACCAGTCGACTGTTTTGTTTTGACTGTTTCTGAGTCATGGATTTGTAGTGACTCACATTTATCACGAGAACATGACTGGTTTAATAAAAACAATTATTATTATAACCAACTGTACCAGTGTTTGTGTTAATGTGCTTTTGTTTGACTGTGCTAATGACAGCTATATTTTGCTTCCATTCTTATACTCAGACTTTTGATTGTGACTTCGCGCAAATTCGGTTATGTTCTGTAACCAAGCTTGTATACTGGCACGATCACGGTATCCTTTCGATACCACGAGATCGCCAGCAAATAAATATCTCGACTTGGTCCATTAACTGTCTTCTGATATTTGGCTTCTCGGGGATTTTATGGATTTATTTGGTTACGTTCAACCTTCGCCTTCTGATTCATTTGGCACGTGTTTCTTGGTAGCGGTGTTCATAGTTAATCTCAACTCGACGCCACGCTACAGATTCATTTTTTCCATTAGTAAACAAGTTTATTGTTGATGTACGGCTTCTGTTTAACTCCATTGATTTTACCGTTACTGGATTTGGTATTGCTCGGCAAGTTAGTAAATATCTTTAATCTGCATCATTCATTCTTACTTCACTCTCAACTTTAGGCAATGCTCTTTTAAATGTGTCCACGCCCCTTGTATCTAGTCTGTTAGATTAAGGGTGATTAGAGAGTGTCTTTGTACTTTTCTCGACGTTGTGGATCCAAACCCTCGAAAAGTTCACATTGGTGAAATGAGATCCACCATCTGATACCAACAAATCCAGAGACACGAATCAGTATATTATCTATCCCAATTTTTCCATAGCAGCTTTCGATAACGCAGACGTCATACAGTGAACTTCCGAACATTTAGAAGTAGAATCAACAATTACCAGTTTTTAATCAGGCATTACGAACGGTAGCTATCCGATTTGAGAATCAGATGATTTTGTGCACGTTGAGCGGAACTGCAGAGCGACAGCCTTACCGGCAGTAGGACACGTGGAACCTGATGTCAAACGACTCTGGTGCATGTGTCACTTAGATTTTATAGGGCTGAAGGAATGTAAGCCGGGCGTCCAGGGTTGTTGATAGGTGGTGATGTGCTTAAAGCTCATAGAATAATAATAATTTGTTCTTGACTAATAGTCTGTTACATGAGGCATGCCAGCGTACACGCGAGGTCGACTTGGTATACAGGATACAGCGTTCACTGTAGTAGGTTACTCAGTTATGTTTATATATTATAAGGTGCATTGGTATAAAATAATGGGGAACAACTCTTCTCAATTATGAGTGTAAATAATACTAGTTAGGCTCGTCTTGTAAATATGAATGTTGTGTTGCGACGTGCAGTTGATGGTAGTGAAAAAATCCACGTAAAGTTCAGTGCTTCTAGAAACCGCAACCTCACCTTCTTCTGGAAAATCTGAAGCATTAATGATGGTGCATGACGAAGTCACTTGCTTCATATGTGTTTTCGGCAACATATCTCCAGAGAGCTGAAACGAAGGGTGAGAAAAAGAAAGGACTAGAATTAGAGCAGGCAATGCTCATGACTATTGAAGTTGATTCATTTTTAATGAAATAGTTAAAATGTGACTACTTAGTCCAATTCTCTTTTTTCTCAAAGTACTATTTAAGCATGAGCTTTTCAATAGGTTAAAGAACACAAACATAAACGTTGTATGACCGGACAAATAACTGTATAAATGAAGGTCGTTAGAAAAGAAGCTGGAAGTATAGGATTAAATGAAGTTTAAAAATATAGTACTGAAAACAGTATTCTGAAACATAAAGGTTTATCTCCCTTTTTTCAAATCTATTTCAGCTCATTTTTATTTTTGTTGATTTTATAGGGTCACTAGCAGACTTCCTTTTTGACGAGTTGTCTAGCTTTGCTTTTAATAGGATTACGCAGTAGGAATTGAAACCAGCCCAGAGTTACAAACAAGAGCTAAAGAGGTATTTTGCATAATAAGTTAGCATCGATACCAATGGCTCGTGACATTCCACAAGACCATAAAGAGTCGTAATTTAATAACATGTTCTTTCCTACAGACATGTCTGAAATGAAGTTATCTCCCCACCATTATATCTGCTGGTCAGTAACGCCACCTTTCCACCTTTTGTGATGTTAGACTCTCTTAGGTTTGTTGTGTGTATGAATATTGCATTAATCGAAATCACTTGTTGGAATACATTGTCTATACTAGTCCGAATTTACAAGCGAATCAGATGGCTGAAGCTTTTGCATTGTGGATCAAACATCCATTTAGTAAATCACACTACTATGAAGATATCTAATAGTAAGTTATAAAATAGGTCAGATTATCTGTGGTTTAGAGATGGTAAGGCTAGATGACAAGGCAAGGAATATGTAGAAGCTTTTAATTGTAAAGCTTCCGGACTAAGGAAAAAATACATTGAGCAACTCACAAGAACTTAAGACATTATGAGCTTCTTGCGACCGGCCATAGCTGGTCAGCATCCATGGGATTACTGAGTTATCTGTCAACTTGTAATGGAGAAAATGGACATGGCACTTGGGAAGAATAATGCAATTTCAACCATTAGAGAGATTCGAAGTCGAAAGTGACGGGTTGGGGCATAGGGGTGTAACTAATAATCACTGAATAATGCCCTGTCAACCTCGATCTTTACTGGTTATCGCTGACAGGACAAGCTGTTAGTCATATGTACGGAAACCTAGATACTTCACTCAAATCCGAAGTTTCTGCCGATGATGTTGTTTAGAATAATAATGAAATCTCCACGACCAAAATATGAAGCTAATAAAACAAAACTCCACCGAAATTGTGTCGTTAAAAATTATGAAAGCCAGAGTCTCTCAAGTTGCAATCCACCATATATGACCAACAGAACTATAATTCTTTGGAATCGTTCCTCGCCAACTGGTTTCATGTCAGTCTAAAAGAATAAATTCCATCCAAGATTGAAGTGATTGTGTTGCCATCTTATTCAAGTCTATTATCGCTATGCTGTTTTAAGCAGAAAAACAGGCATTAGTGGAGGCTAACAACTGTGTGACCTCGAGTGAGAACTGAAAAATTGATTTTGATTCATCAGAGTAAGATACATGAAACCAATTACGGTAGTTGTGCAATCACGACTAGAAAATTACGACCAGTCTCCGCACGTAAAATGAAGTAAGTGCTCCAAGTCGACCCGAAATAAATTCATGAACGCACCTCGACGGGATTACGGAATTCAGTAGAAACAATGTATAATTATGCAACCTAGACAACTTCTCGTATATATATTAGAGGGCAAAAGAGCACTAATTAGTTACGGGAGTGAATCTCGATCCATAGACAACAACCAAGACAATACAGAATCCACGGCTGATGTCTCCAGGACGTTCTTCACTCAAGAGCCACCTCTTAACAAGTGACAAGGGACAGAATTAGTGTCACTGAGGACCTAGGATAAGGAGACGTGTCAAAGATAATGAGTTCTTTAAACCCGAAAAGATCGACGGGACGGAATAAGTTATGTCATAAAATCGTGAGACAAATTGCACCACATATTTCTACCCTGTTCATTACATTATTCAGGATGTCTTTCAGACAGAATGGGTTGTCTGTAAACTGAAAATGTGTATTTGTGAGATTTCAATTTAAAAATTACGTACAGACTACAAGCTTCTCTTTCAAAGGTCATATCTTGAAAAAATTACTGGCAATAGCTGTCCGTATAATTCTACGTTTTTGAGGCTTGACATACACAAGGGATGTTGATAATTCAGACTTCTTTACTCGTTCACACTACAAACGTTGAAATGACCTGATTGTGATATATAGAATATTACGGAATGGCTTTATACAGACTACATACTAACTTGTTGTTGCAGTTGATCTCCCTAGCCAATAATGAACTAAATACCCGGGATGTGAAGCTTCACACAGGATAATACCAATTCCACTATAAGTGCAGCACAAAGCCATTTAAATAGGCCCCTGAACTGTTGCACAAATGCCTAAAGTTTGTCTAATAAGAGACCAGATTAAGATGTACAGATAGACTCTACCAGGCCGAATGTATTCACAGCCACTTAGCTGCTGCAGTCTATAGACAGTATGGAGCTTGATTTCGAAGGTTTCACGTCAGTAAGAGCGGACACAATGCAGGAGTGTAAAAAGGAGTAGCCATATTCATTAGGAACATCATCCTATTTACCATAATTGATAATGTATCCCATGAGAGTGAAGTGTGAAATAGTTAGTTGCAGCCTGAAGTACAAGGGACAAGAGCTGCTGAATTGATTTGGTATACAGGAGCCCGAGCAGTGAGGCAAATGAGGTCTTGCTAGACGGTCTCAATAAATACGTTCAGACAAAAAGTAGTTGTCTACACCAAATTAATGTGAATGTTTAACTGAAGGAATCCAGCTCCCATGTTCTATATTGTTTAAGTATTTGTAAGGTACCAAATGTATGTAGACATAGAGACCTTGAAGGACAGTCGCGTAATTGGTTAACCCACGTACCATTTAAGGACAAATATAGGACTCAATTATTAGTCTCTACTGTCAAATTTTCTCTATTTGGTTTGTTGTTTGCTAGATCTCACATCATATTAAGTTCTGTTTTTTCTTTGTGTTCTATCACGTATATATATATATATATATATATATATATATATATATGACGTATGTCCATATGGACAAGAAGAATATTCTTCTTGTTACACATGGTTCTAAAAGCTGTTTCTGAAATGAGGCATGTTGGCAGAGAGGCTTTGACGTACAAAAGTGGCAGTATGAGAAACCATTATAATGGTTTCAGGTATTAGGCTATAGCCTAATACCTGAGGCTTGAAAAAACCAGTGAATATTTGAAACTTTATCTAGTGTCTGTCAAAAAACATTTCTCACGACTTCTAAGGCTTTATGTTTTATTTGTGCTTTGGCCAATTGAAGTGGCAAAGTAACATGTAAACTATCTCCATAAAAAGTCAGATGTCGAAACGTGAAATTTAAACGTCCGAACACTGGAAAACAAATTGTGACCTCAATCGTAAACTTTTGTAGAGAAACTTCACTTCGAATATTCGACTGTTGATATTGTTGGTTTTTATTGTCTTACATATTATTGATGTGTCTTTATCAATATATACCGTAAGTAACGAAGATTATTGATTTTCTGCCTGAACAATTTGCACTTCATCACTTTCCATGTCAGTTTTGCGTTACCGACTATTTTGAAAACTGATTTTTACGCACAATGTAGTCATAACTTTCTGATTTCCGCTTTTAATATTTAGTCTGAATTAATCGATTCCGACAAATCATTGTATACACAGATGCCTAGTACATTATGGAATCCGATTTTTCCCATACTGAGTAGGGAGTTTAGTTGCCGTAGTTTCAACTTAATTCGACACTTCGAGCCGCAGGTGAGTTTGAGTAAATTTGTTGTAATATTTAACACGTATTCTCTGGAATCCCTTTTTTATGTTTTTTTCAAAATAGCTTACAGCCTGCTTCTCGCGAGTCAGTATTTCACGGGCTTAGAACACTACATAGTATGAAGGAAGCAGATAGTTCGGACGCAATCAGAAGTAAACTTATTCTTACATAGGTGACTTAACCTCTTTTTAAGATGAGAACAAAAATCGTCCGGTTGTAAAATAATGAGGCACGCTGTTTCCGAACAAACTAGTCTATTCCGTAGTCAGAAGGTCGCCACCATTCTTAGAGTGGGCCGGAGATAAGCCATCTATCCTAGCCTGGTATTCGTGGCAGGAGTTGAAGTTCCTTATAAACTTCTGCCGTGTTAGATGGATCAATCGACACTGACCAGGGAGAACAGCGAATTCCGATCGATGTAACCATTTTCCATTAATAAAGAGAAACGCAGTCAAGCCAGGAAGAATAAGCATCGAAGATACGATCCGAGAAGAAAATATAAATTCGTAAAATCAAAACAAAAGAAAGTTATGAGGAATTTAGAATCTCGGAATTTGGATGGTGACAAAGGAAGGATGCATGTACGCCATTACAAACGATTTTGAGCCGTACCATCCAAAGTCTCTGACCATTGGTTACGATAATCACGCGGACCCCAACCAGGTCGTTTATACCTATGAATATGGCTAAGTCCAGTTATCGGTAAATTCACGAACTGATGCCATGTTTTTGTTTGGCCACCTTTAGCTTTCTTCCAGCCTACTCCTGCACCAGCAAACATCTCCCATCACAGGTTGGTAAGAGCCAATCGAGCCTTCTGAATCCGTGCCGAAATTTCGTCAGATACCAAACCAACAAAACTGGTTTAACTCGGGAAGCTTAGTGCTAATGTCCCGATAAATAGACCACCTTATTAAAATGCTTTTAAGCCATTACTTGAGGTTATGATTTATTGATCTTGAGACAAAGTTTCCGATCACATCGCCACATTTCGCTTTTGATCCAGGTATATCAAATGTATCATTTTGTGTTAGATCAGGTTCGAGAAATTGCACCTTGAAATTGAAGGTCTTACATTATTTAGAATTGAAGGTTTCGAATTTTAAATAATTCAAAACCAGTTTTTGATTCAATCTACCTTGAATATTCATTCTAAAAATGTACCCTTAATAATGCCATAGAGTGAGCATATCTTTTATCTTCTCAGTGCAGTGAGCTCTACAATTTCTTGAGGTCCTTATCACGACAGCTGTTCATTGTATGGTACTTACTTCTGTCGACTTCTAACTAAGGATTTATGCAAGGAGGTTGACACATAAGTTGTTATTACTTACTTAAGCGTTGTTTATCTTTGATATTGCGTTGACTTTTATCTATTTTAATAATCGTGTGAGAATACTCTGTAAGCACTAGAAAATGGCATTTTCAAAAATTCGGTCATATATGTCAATCACTTACAAATCACACTACGTAAAATTGGTTTTTATTTTATCAACTGTATTTTTTAAAAACCTTGCTTGTTGTTTAAGCTGTTTAAAATCCTCTTGAAAAATTATTATTTCCCCATAAGTACGGAGCTAACACGAAAATTACTCACGTAAAGGTCGTGTGTGACCGACCTCAATCAGTTGTACCTTGGGCACTGCGGTCAGGCTCTCAGGTCACTAAGACCACCCCTAACCCAATTTTCTTTTCAGGTAACTCCAGAAGAACCCTTCCATGATGTGGGCAACCGGGAAGTGATAACTGCTCTCATAATTCAGACAGCACCCAAGATCACTATTCATATTCAGTCTCCGTCTTCAATTCCTATTATTCCTCCTAAGTCATCTTTCAACTCTAAACTTGCTCTTTTGACTTCCTCCGCAAGTGTCACCATAGCCAACGCTTCTAGTGCGCGAGACACTGTCCCAGGTCTACTGAAACCTCGCTCCAAACTACACATTGGAGCCTTCAATGTACGTACTCTATGTCAAATCGGTCAAGTTGATGTAGTTATCTGATACACCTTTCAGTGAGACAAAACCATAGAACCTCATGATCAACGGGATTTGACATCGCCTTGTGGTCAACGAATACAACTATACTCGGACATCAGAAAGTACGTCTATGTTCCAGAATCTGCCGAAGGGTGAATAATTGATCTGTACATCCACCCTCAGGTCTGAACCCAGCCTAATTTCCTCGGGTTTGCTCTACATGAGCTATAGTTAGACGTCGAAGTATTATTGAGGCTAACATTTTAGACACTAGATTAGTTAAACTGTCTCCTCACAAGAGGATTTTTATCCCTTCTTCTAGACTGGGATGATCAGTGATCAAGACCTGCCAAATGAAATTACATCCAGACCCGAGATTGTAGCTCGGATTTAGTTAGTGTAACTGCCAAAACTGCACCACCATCCCTAACAATCTCAGGGGTTAGTCCATCGTACGATTTATGTACGTTGTATCTCGGAAACACGCGTACAGGATCCTAGTGGTGTCATTCACTTGACCTCACCTCACCAAAATGGGGAGCCGACGAGATACGCTCTCCATCCATCTGGCGACCCGATGGCTAGTTCTCGTGGACTGGCAGGTGTTGGCATGGGACTAAGTATGAGGGCAGAACAAGCACTATTAGAATGGGTCCCCGTTGACGGTCGCCTATGCGTTGTTCAGCTAAACGGCTTTGTGAGAACTCGGAAGGATAGGGACACACTTCACTGCCTTTTCGTCGTTCCTGCCTACGCTCTCACGGACTGCAGCTCGGATAAAGTGAAGGATGACCTTTACAGAAAGCTTTCCGAACTTATCCATAAAGCTACCCGCTCAGACAGTACTCGTAGCAGGTGACTAGTGCCAAGGTAGGTAGCTTAAACCAAAACAGCAGCGACATTCATTAGTGATTTAAACCAAAGGGTTACGAAGAACAAATGGGTTTCTACTAGGTCTCTTGCACTGATAGATTCTCGTAAACTCATCCCATCAGGCTCTGAACATGATGAAGAGGGAAAACAAATCAGATTTAAATTAACCAAGAGTCTAAGGAACGACCGTGAGCAGTGGTGGGTAACGAAAGCAAAAGAGATAGAAATGGCAGCGGCTGTAGGTAACACCAGACAGCTTTTCAGACTAATAAATTCAACTGGAATTAAGAAGTGATGTGTGAGACGATCTCAGAAAAAGACAACACTCTTATCCGCTTTCAGCCCAGACATTTAGAACGATGAGCGGAACAGTTTAAGGAGCAGTTCATCTGACCTTCAACTACTCTACAACTACCCACCGTTCCCAGACAGCCTGAATGGAACATTGAAGTAGTCCAAAAAGCTATAGCTAATCTGAAACTAGGAAAAGCAGATGGATTGGCTCCAGATGTCTTTAAGTATGGTGGTCTAATTTAGCGATTAGGTTGACTAATATTTTAGGTGAAATCTGGAAACTGAATGTAAACCCATCTGACTGGTCTCAATCACTGATTGTCCGAATATATGAGAAGGGGTCAAGGTAATCTTGTGATAACCATAGAGGAATTAGTTTGACTAATATAGCATCTAAAATACTAGCCTCAATGATTATTGGGTACCTGACAGACTCGTGAACTGTAAACACGAGAAAATCAGACTGGCTTTGAGCCTCGTCATGGCTGCATCGACTACATGTTCACCATTCTTCAGATTTTAGAATACAGGCATGCTTATTGGCGTCCGACAATGGTGGTCTTTCTTGACTTAAACTCAACATTCGACAGTGTTGTCATTGAAGGATCTACCTTGGAAGTATATAAATTTTGTGAAGTCTCTTTAATCAATCACCACCATCTGAGTCGGAGTTATGGTGAACGACAAAGCTGTTCACTGTCTCAAGTTTTGTTCAACTTCATCTTAGACATACTGATGGAAATAATGTTCTTGTCGACTGAATTTTCAGGAATCGATCTCCTATTAGGAGGTTCATTTATTGACCTAGAGTACTCTGATGACATAGTATTTTTTTGGTGAAGACGCTGATAAAGTGCAGTCTTTCGGTAGCACTGAGCAACAATACCAGGATGTTTGGGATGTGTTTCTCCCCTCTAAATGCAAGTTTTTGCTTCAGGACTGGTCTGCGTCAACACCTGAACTAAGGATAGGGAGTGAAATAGTTGAACGCGTCGACAGCTTCACTTATCTTGGAAGTCTGATCAGCCCTAATGGGTTGGTGTCTGCCGAAATCTCTGCACGGATTCAGAAAGCTCATTTGGCTTTTGCCATCTTGCGCTACCTATGGCGAAGGTGACATATCCGTCTATCAATATAATGATGAGTATACTGCACGACATTTCGTTCTGTTCTACTTTACGGCTGCGAAACGTAGCCACCAAGAGTAGAAGATACTCTAGTATTTGACCACAGATGTCTTAGAAATATAGCTCGCATCTGCTGGGATCATCGGGTAAGTAATAGTGAGGTTAGACGCAAGGTATTAGAGAATGATGGTAAATCAGTTGATGAGGTTGTAAATCTTCATCAACTGAGATGGTTGGGCCACTTGTTACGTATGCCTGAATACCGATTACCACGACGCGCAATGTGTTGGGGATGGTTGAAAGTTAGGGGTGGCCAAACCAAAACATGGCATCAGTTCTCGAAGTCACTAACTACTTATGTAAGCCATGTTGATAGATGCTGACTACTTGGTTGGAGTTCATGTGACTATCGTAACCAATGGTTGAAGACTCTTGGTGACATGGCTCAGAATTGATCACAGTGACGTCGGTGTATGCACTCTTTGTCATCCCTTAAACCGTGAGATTGAAATTGCTTTATATCTTTTTTTCTACAAACTAATTCTCTCTTCCTGTACTATATCCTTATACACAGTCCATTCTTTTATGCATTACTACCATCTGAAACTAGGAAAAGCAGATGGATTGGCTCCAGATGTCTTTAAGTATGGTGATCTAATTTTAGCGATTAGGTTGACTAATATTTTAGGTGAAATCTAGAAACTGAATGTAAACCCATCTGACTGGTTTCAATCACTGATTGTCCGAATATATGAGAAGGGGTCAAAGTAATCTTGTGATAACCATAGAGGAATTAGTTTGATTAATATAGCATCTAAAATACTAGCCTCAATGATTATTGGGTACCTGACAAAGACTCGTGAACTGTAAACACGAGAAAATCAGGCTGGCTTTGGGCCTCGTCATGACTGCATCGACTACATGTTCACCATTCGTCAGATTTTAGTATACAGGCTTGCTTATCGGCACCAAATGTGATAGTTTTTCTTGACTTAGAAGCAGCATTTAACTCGGTTAACCGAGAGGTTCTGTGGCATTGAAAGGCGTACTTGAGAAGTACATAAACCTTGTGAAGGCTCTATTCGCACAATACTGGTCGAGTCAGAGCGTATGGCGAACCGTCATCTGAATTTGCAACTTCAAGTGGTGTCTAGCAAGGCTGTTCACCATCTCTATTTCTGCTTAATTTCATCACAGACCTACTGCTGGAAATAACATTCTCGTTGGTCGAACTTTCAGGACTTGACCTCCTACCAGCAAGTTCGCTGTCTTGTTTTCTAAAGACCCTGATAAAAACAGTGCTCTTGTATTGTAGCACATGTCTTTCGTAGCGTTGTAGCTGACTGAAGTAATGCATGAAAAACGGCTACGTTAGCATAGTTGCAATAGGCCCCCAAAAGCCCTGCTATGAATAAGAGTGGAGTGGGCTCGGCCTCCCTCTCGAAATGCTCTCACACGGCCACGCGTACACAGCCTCTGCCAGGGAAGTCCTACTCACTGCCTTCTCGTGGCAGGGGTGTTGTTTAAGAAAATGAGTGGACGAAAACCGAATGTCCGGCGCTTTAACCGGATCCCAAACCAATGGTGCACATGGGCTCCAGTATCCTGGGGAAACAAATGGCGTATGAACCAATTTATGGTCACCAGCTTCCATGGGACTGCATCTCCTCACGATGCTCCACTGCCTTGTGGATCGGATCTTCAGGTCGAGGGCTCGGGGAGTGGCCCCCTAAGAAAACCACCTGGTTCGGTTTGGGCACCCGGGCAGTATCACAGCTTTCACACAAGTCAAGTGAGATTTGTGCGGCGCATATGTCTTTGGTGCCTCCTTGTACCAATATCTGTGTTAAAATAAATAATAGTTGCAATAGACGGTCACCATTATCTGTTCGCCGACCCGCAACGTCGTAAAAACCACTCCATTTCTTTCGGTTTTGTTTAGTTCGTTTACCTGAGCACTCAAATCACCTTCCATTTGTATTAAGGTATCCAACCTTAAGCTAAACGCCCTGTAGTAATTCATGCTCATCACAACCATGTGGTGTTAACAAATCATGAAATCATTTTCAAAAGGTTTTCGGGCCATAGGGTACTATAAACCAGCTGTACGCAATACTTGCAGTCAATAAATTAGTCAATCATGTCTTATTGCAATGGGGTTTCTGTGTTGTTTATTTGATAGAAAATTTTAATCATTGTATATTACTATAATTGGATGTTATTCGTTCGTTTAGACACCGAAAGAAGTCGGACCAAATGACCGGAACAATCACCTTCCTAAGTCGTATGAATTGATGATGCGAACCGTACAAAACAGAGTAGGTCCGACCCAGAGGCCTCGCAAAAGACTATACACCATATTGCTTTCTCGTCGAGAGAACAAAATGTCGGAATCAGTTAGGATGTCCACTCCCGAAGGGCGGGCGCTCATTTTTAAGAGACTTATTGATGGACAAAAACGTTTGTGGCCGCATGCTTGGTAGTTTGTTTGCTTCAACTTCTCAGACATATTTTTGAAAATTTGTGTACTTCTATTTCACTCTATCTTCAAATATAGTGCGTATCAACGACTAATTGATTTTTTAAACCATGTTTTGGATTGACTTCATGAGGTAAGAAAATAAGGGTGAATTTTCATACTTATGTGAAAGCAGTAGTAAGGGGTGTCGCCAATTGGTTGTTCCAGCTGAAATCAATCCACAGCATATGCCGAAATTTATAATTAAGAAATGCGAACGGACATTAATTAATCTTTGCTTCTAAGTTTCCTTTTGTGTTACGTCAACTAGCAGATTATTCTCAAAAAACAATACTTTTCTACGGTGACTGGAAGTCTTATTACTGAATACGACAGAATTTAGTGTTTTCGTGTTTCGAGTAACCCACTTCAGATAAGCCACATCGTTTTTACTAAGCAAGTGGTCTCAAAACGAACTGGAAGACAAAATGGGATTTCAAATTATAATGAATGTGTAATTAAAAACCACAAACCAGTTGTTGTCAATAAACCATTGCGTAAAGAATATTGTTTCAAAAGTAAGACTGAATGAAGAGAAGAATGTTTCCAACAACGAGTATACTCAGTAAATTATTTATTTAGAACTAATTGGAAAATGTGATTCTATGGTGGTGAAGTTGTCCTTTATAACCTCCATGTTCTTGATAACATTGTTTTGTACCTGAAATAAAGCGAAACTAATGTAGGATGAAGCTACCTCTTCTAAAAGTTTGGTATACGAAGATAAACTTCCTTCCACATTTTTTTGACTTGATTCTATTGTACACAGAGATTGGCTAAATTGAGATGCTGAAAGTATAACAAATGATTACGTTTGGTCAGTAGATTGATAAGTATATTACCAATCAGTAATATATAAATAAATGAGGTACTTCCTACTATGAGCAGTCTTCATTTTTAAATAGTGGAATGAACGTATCTAACGGAGTTAGCAAAATCAACTATTGTTTTGAATTATCATATGATTTAATATGGAAAAAGTCAGGTTAGTAGAAAAATCTGCTCAAATATTGTTTAATAGGTCATTGTTTTACATGACCAGTTGTGATGAGATGAACAGTGTTCATAGTACTTATTCAATAAAGAATAACGTTACTCGTTTATGAATCATAGTTACATGTATTTCGCTTTGAGCGAAACTACAGTTGGATGCATGTTAATACTATTTTTCTGCCCAAACCAAGATAGATGAAGAGAGGTTCAAACTTGCGATCAAATGTTTAGTAATCGAATTATTTAACAACTAGAGTACCCATCCACTTCAATAAACTAGTCTTGTTATCGTACCTAGTATGTAATGTAATAAAAACTCTCAGTCCAGAAATAATTTCATGAAGTATAGTCTTCTTAGACTACTCTTCCAATGTGTGACTATGTACTCACCTTTCCATTGTCACTGCTTAAAATTTGACATTAAGCTTGATTAAAGGTCCAAGTAATAATCTTATTCCTTCCAATATTTTAACTTTGCAAACAGGAAGTGTTTTAGTCAGCTTTTTGTAGTAAACACATGTGGCTGTGCTACGAAGTACATGTTATGGTCGTTGGAATAAATGGATAGAGAAGTGGTCAACAGATCGAACGCGATGATCCAAGATGGTCTGTTGATAATTTCTCACGAGACCGAATTGTTGGTGCACGGCCCTAAATAAACGAATATCGAAAGCGATGCAACCGACTAGCGGAATGGCCTTTGTTCTTAAGTAAAATAGTATACTTTTACACAAAATATTAGATATAAAATCTAACACGAACAGATGTCATCTAAATAATTGACTGAAGGATATGAGCTTTGAAATATGTACTCAACTCTTCACTTGGATTAAAACTTACGCCTTTTTGCCCAGCTTAACCCATATAATATACAATCTGTGAGGTCTGACGAGATGCATTCAATTTCGAGTCCCGATGCTTTCCAATCAAAATATTTTCTAATATTGCATTTGGATATTATTTAGTAATCGGAATTTACATTTGTTGTTTTGAATCAAATAGTGGGGTTAGATTTTGTGAAATTTTAGGTTTAATCAAAGTGATAGTTGTGTGAAGTGGTATTAGTATTCAACAGAACAGTTCGTGATCTGTTGCTTACATGAGTCATTCAAGAAATACAATTGGCTATCCAGCTCAAGAGCTAAGGTAGGGGGTTACGTATTCTATTTTCAGTCATACTATTTTTGTAAGGACTCAATTATTTGGTCAGACCGAGGTACACGAAGTGCGGTCCAACTGTTATAACCATTATATCATCTCCCCACAGTAAATACAAAACAGGAATTTCAGAAAGCGAACAAGATAAGTTACATGTCAAATCATATGTTCTGCTTACCTTCTTCATGTAGTGATTTTAGGGTGCTAAGTCGTTCTACAATCACAGGTAGACTTTCGGCCACATCATTCCATTTCTTTACCAGTTCGTAAAGTTCTGCGATCTAAAGTTAGATAATAAGTGTATTTGTTCATATTATGAAGAATTACGGTCGTCACTCAGCAAGATAGCTCGTTATTGTTCAATAATTCGGTTAAAAAGAAGTGTGGAGCCTTAAGCTCTACTCGTAATCTCTAATCAGTGAACTTACCAAGGTGTATATAAATAAAGTGGGTAGAATTCCATCTGTTAAAAATATCCTGTGGAAACGCTAGTAGTATAGCAAACAATACAATAACTCACTTAAAAATACCAAAAATATGCATAACTAGATTTGTTTCTAATTTATTTAGTTTTCCACGTTAGTTTTGAAAGCTTTTAAACTGAATTTTAGTATTAAATCTGTTAATAGAAGTAAAAAAATTAGAATCCTTATACTATATTCTGTTTAGTTCTTATATAAGAATAACATATTTTCGAAATAAATAGGCTAATATTAATTCCACTGCACAACAGTGCTTATTAATGAAGATGGTGTAGATATACCATATCAATCACTTCGAAATATACTTAATAATTTGCATGTACTTCTCTAAGCTAGTATAGTAGGAGGGTGAAAAGACGATCCTGGATTCGCTTTCTGAAGAGATTTTAGATTAAGATGGACCCCGCATCCTGTCACAATGAAACAGATTCAATCATCTTTTGTCTTTCTTTGACCTTTTAAAATTATTTAGTACCTCCTATTAAGTAGGTTCATTATTTTCTTGATGATCACATTTTCTACGGCATATCTTTTTTGATAATACTCCTACTTTTGTACTGATCTTGAAAGTTTTATCCTCCTGCCTTGGCTGTGATTTGATGAATTGAACTAAAGCAAATATGTCTAGTTCTACGATACCTACGGCTGACCGACAGTAAAGTTTTTTGCTAACCTGAAAACTTCAACTTTACTTTCTCGAACAAGAAACTGTCAGCCATAGATTTGGAAGTAAAACGTACAGGCAAATTATGAAAAGTTATTTCAGACAGCGATGGTTGCAGTTAACAGTTCGACCAATTTATGTGCAAGTAAAACTATGATGAGCCCTTACAACTAGACAGAACTCATTCTTAGCATATTGCAAATGGGTGACATTTAGAAGCAACACAACGCAAGGCATAAACTCACTTTATTTTGTATATCATAGTCCGCGATAGCCTCTCGCTTTTCAGTAACAGCTTGTAACTTCCCCTGCAATGATGTTAAGCGAGCTTCGATCATATCAAGATATCCCTGCTGAAATAACGACGAACGAGCGGACAGACGCGAACACGCTTCTAGAAGACCATGAGTAGTTGTATCTGCTGTTAGAGCTGTGAGTTTGTTAGGATCTGGCTGGCCAATAAGAGCTTCGATACGATGAATCCGACGATCGATATCCGCCACCTAAAATTGTACACTAATTTTAGGATCTTGCAAAGCCATATGTTTAGACAAGTTCAATATAAAACCATCAGACTTAAAATAACATCCTGGATTTTGGCACAAAATTCATTCATCCACTTAGTTAAAGTGTCTTGGTGTTTGAGCGGATGTCAGTTCGTGATGAAAACCCTAAACACTAACTGCGAATCATAATCTTTGTTCTTCATAAGGGTTCCCAAACCTCATCTAACCCCAGCAAGCAGGTGGACATTCGCAAAGTCACTTAAGTGTCGCTCAAAGGTCGTCCATAAATTATAGTCTCACACTTTTTTACTGTACTGGAAAACTTTACTCAGAACATGTTGATCCAAACATAGATTCAATCCAATCTGAAAACGAGTTTAGTTTTGTTCGATATAACCTCCGACAGGTTTTTCAAAACACTAAACGGAATTACTTTATCGATGCTCTTTTTGTAAGAATGAATAGAACTACCTTTTCAGCAGCAGTTTGAATGCTCTATTATGCTTTCTCAATATCCTCAACCCATATTCCCGATAAAGATCTCAGAAATTACTACCAGTAAAGCTTTCATACTCATTTTCAAACTCCGCAGCAATGGCTTAGTACATAAAGCACATCAATCAATCTTCATATTTGAAACAACTTAAACGTTTTGATTTGGTAACCTGGTAATATCACACCACTTACATAGGGAATGTGGCTTAAATATTATTATGTGAAGCAGCACCCAGTGAATGAGATACATCCTGAAGAAGAACACTTAGTTGAGTCAACTATTACATCACTAAAATTGAACTGAATGAATCGCCCTTAATGGTTGTTGTTATATATATATATATATATATATATATATATATATATATGACCTGTTAGTTCGTTACTGAGGACAATAAATTTCGGTTGCGGTATTTGTAGTTAAAAATGATTGTTTATATCCAGTCAGTTACAAAGTAGGACCAGGCACATGTGCATCGGTCCAAGTTGCCACACCTCATTAGCACAGCAAGATGAACACCAAATTTATAGAAGCACTTAACTCAATGGTGTAAAAAAAGGGAAGATTGCATATAAGGATATAGTACAGGAAGAAAGTCAGTTCGTAGAAAGAAAGATATGAAATAATTTTAGTGTCATAGGTAAAGGGAAGACAAAGAGTGTATACATCGACGCCATTGTGATCGATTCTGAGCCATGTCACCCAGAGTCTCCAACCATTGGTTACGAAAGTCACGCGGACCCCAACCAAGTAGTCTGCATCTACCAACATGGCTAAGACTAGAAGTTAGTGACTTCAAGCACTGATGCCACGTTTTGGTTTGGCCGCCCCTAGCTTTCTTCCAACCGTCCTCAACACCAGTTAGCTTTGCGCGTCGTGGGAATCGGTGTTCAAGCATACGTAATACGTGGCCCAACCATTTCAGTCGATGAAGATTCACAACCTCATCAACTGATTTACCATCGTTCCCTAATACCCTGCATCTAACTTCACTATTAATTACCCGGTGATCGACCAAATACCCTGGTATGACTGAGAGTGGGGTGGGCTCGGCCTCCCTCTCGAAATGCTCTCACACGGCCACGCGTACACAGCCTCTGCCAGGGAAGTCCTACTCACTGCCTTCTCGTGGCAGGGGTGTTGTTTAAGAAAATGAGAGGACGAAAACCGAATGTCCGGCGCTTTAACCGGATCCCAAACCAATGGTGCACATGGGCTCCAGTATCCTGGGGAAACAAATGGCGTATGAACCAATTTATGGTCACCAGCTTCCATGGGACTGCATCTCCTCACGATGCTCCACTGTCTTGTGGATCGGATCTTCAGGTCGAGGGCTCGGGGAGTGGCCCCCTAAGAAAACCACCTGCTTCGGTTTGGGCACCCAAGCAGTGTCACGGCCCCCACACATATCGAATGATATTTGTGTGGCGCATATGTATTTGGTGCCCTATAGTACCAATATTTATGTTCAAATAAATAAATAAATAAAATATTTCCAAGACATCTGTGGTCAAATATTATTAACTTACGAGTATCTACTCTTAATGATCACGTTTCGCAGCCTTAAATTAGGACAGAACGAACTGCCGCGAAGTATACTCGTCTCTTAATTGATAGACGGATACCTTGCCTGTGCCATCGGTGACGTAAATTGGCAAAAGCCAGAAATAACTGAAAGATCAACTACATATATTCACCAAACTATCAATCTCCAACTAATTAATTTAGTTAAATACAAATATTGGTACTAGGAGGCACCAAGTATATATGCGTCACACAAATCAATTGATTTGTGTGTGCTGAAGTATTGCCCCGGGCGCCCAAATTAAGATGGATGGTTTTTTTTAGGGATCTAGGCCTCGAACCTTAGACATAAAGGTCTAATCCACAAGGTGTTGGAGCAACATAAGGAGATTCAGTCCCATAGTAGCCGATGACCAACGATTAGATTCATACGACAATTCTTCCCTCAGGATCCTGTAGCCCATGTGCAACATTGGTTTGGAATCAGAATTTTCCAACTTCCCTAGGTGAGCCCTCTATATCCACTAACCCAGTTAAAGCGCCGAACATTTACTTTCCGTCCTCTCAATTTCGTAAACAACATCCCTGCCGCGAGAAGGTAGTGAGTAGGACTTTCCTGCCAGTAGTTGTATGCACGTGGTCATGTAAGAACATTTCGACAGTGAGAGTTGACTCTTCCTACTCTCGGCTGTACCAGGGCATTTGTGAACGTGAAGCAAGTTGAACTACAACCATTTAGTAGCACGAGGAAGCTGCGTAGTTACTTACTTTTTCAGCATCTGATTGCTGGATAGAGCTCTTTCGGTCATATATTTCGTAGATTAGATGATTTGACTTCTTTGGACTTCTAGAAGCTGGTTTTTCCGGTTTGAACTCGTCAATTTGTCTCAAAATTTTACTAGAAATTAAAAGATAGACTGATAAACTTGCAAGTTTGATATGGCAGGTAACCATTATTTATGTTAGAAATAATATCCATGAACGAGGTTTTGGATGATATACTTATGTTTTTGTCATCATGTAAAAATAAATCAACAGTATAAAATCTGTACTTCTCAATGAACGCTTGTACTATCTAGTTCATACAAGTTCACAGTTGTGTGAATGACCAAAATAAGTTTTTCCTGACATGCAGCAACCGATTCGCTCTAGGATCATAAGGTACACCAACAGCTTTTATATCAACAGACACAAATGATATTTGTTACCCAAGTCTTCCAACAACTGACTGATGGTACAGTACGAATGTCATCCTAAGAACTGAACCTTGGATGGATTGCTTATGATAGTAAAACAATATATCTGTAATACTTAAATAAGTAAAAGTTGAAATTCTAACATTTCGCAGCTTGGTTTAAGTCTCCTCTTCGGAGGGTGAATAAGAAACTTCCTAATGATTGAGATATACATACACTATTGCTTTACTGTAAGGAAAGCTTACACTAAATGCATCATGGGTTAGAATCCATGTTGTTTCGTAATTCGAAATTTTAATAGATGCAAAGAAGACACTAAAACCAATTAACTTGTAGTATCAGGGTTAAATGCATGTGGAGTTTCTTAGAAATTACATACCTTAGAACAACAATTGGGTTTTACGGATTTTCATTATTTTTACCTTTTAGACTTTGGTCGGGTGTTAAGAAAACAGGGAACAAACGCCTTCCAACCCAAAAGACCGCAATTATGAGTACAAGATATGGACTTTGACTACTAAAATATCACTTGTATCATTTGTGATATCAGTGAACTAGTATTTTATGACAAAAGACTTATAGCTTCTAATCACTTCAAAGTGAGCACATCGCCACCACCAATTTGAAGTTATTCTGATTATTAAAAGTCTAATTTTTAAGAAATGGCATATGATTAAGTAAAGTTTATGATTTGATAGCACAGTGTGTCTCAGTATCAATGTACAGTTTCAAGCACTATGTGACGACCTGAATTCACTACATGACGAGTGAATTGTTTAGAAACGTGATCCTTGACAAGTGTAGAACTACGTGAGCTTGTGAAACACTGACTCAAAGCCCAGTGGCTCAATTGACTTATCAATGGTTTTCTAAACAAATAACCAATAAACCAATAGTTAAGTCAAGTTGTTATTGTGAATTTGAAACAAGTATACATTTAACAGCGGTTTTTTGGATGTCTGAATGTCATCGCCTCACTTTTAATCTCGCAATAGGAGTGTACCAGGTAGATTATTTAGTTACATATGATAATATTACCTATGCAACGTTTGACCGACAGTATCAGATGAGTCCGCGCATATCGTAGACAATTCGTCACGGTTAATCGTTGTTAACTTCTCAGATAACATTTCTGCGCACGACAGTAGTTGGGCAGTAGAAATAGGTTCTTTCGGGTTTAGATTATTTTGGTCTGATACAGATTGTATGTCACTAATTAACTGATGCGTCTCAGTCTGCAGACGTTGGAATCTGTTCACAAGTGATTCTTTGTCCTTTGACTCGGGAGAAAACTAAGAATGAAAGTACGTTTTGGAGCTTACAAAATCATACTGATCCATTTCTATTGCATATCCAATTTTACCATTCCCAGATATTGAGTCGGAAAAGTCTAAGCAACAAGAGTGAGTTTGCGTGTCGTTTAAGAACTGACCAACGTTTGAAGAATCAACCTTACAGCCAGCAAACCGTCTATGTGCTTCTGATACTGATAGTTTAACAACTTCTATTTCTCTAGCCGACATTGTATCCTCGACGGTTCCCTTGAAAATAAATAGGAACCGTGACAGACCTCACCTTCATCATTTGATCTGCTTCCGGGAGCTCCCCAGCCTCGTAGACATCTGGTTGTCCGTGAGCCTAGATTCAAGGAAGAGTTTTAGTACAGAATGAACTCACAATCCATGGTAAGTCTGCGTACTTCGGGTCTAGTGACATCACCGCGACCTTAGACCCGAAAACCCCGCCCTCCGATTTAGTTTAGTAAGACTTAAAGTCTAGAACAAATGCGTACGGAATTACTCTGCTTATTGAACTCATTGTTAGTGATCCTATGGAAATAACAACTACGAACTTAAAAACTCGCATTTCGTAAATACTTCGCGCGACCGAAATTCCAACACATTCATGCCGAGATTGGATCTAGTGTGTAACGTGGACGCGATGTCACTTTGGAGAATATTTCGAAGATTACTCATTATATCTGAGGAAATAAACTGGTATTAATTTCATAGAATATGTTTATTTAACATGCATACTGTGAACCAATAAATGTAATTTATAGATCATGCCTGTAAAAATGGCGTGCACCTGCCCTTGCGGAAATATATTATTAGTAATAATAATGGACATCATCCACAAATTCCACGTTGGTTATGATGTTACTGACTAATCTTATGTGTAAATCACATCCTTTTCTACACTGACTCATCGTGTCGTAACAACATATTTCAAAAGAGTAAGAGCAAGTTGTACAGAGCGACCACGCCTGCGACGCTGAATCATGCCGTCCGATCAATTCGAATTAGTTCAATTCTTCCCTCCTGCCTTCTCCATTGTCGGGTTTTTCTCAGTGTTAAATGTCGAAAGTCTTGAAGATGTCACAGGTATTCGGAATTCGATAACGCTTTAACCAGTAACATTTTTTAATGTGAAGCGTACCCACCAAGTGAAATCAAAAGACAGAAGTGAGAAGGTTGGAAGATATGTTTGATAGGCTATCAATATATCGAGAATCGTCTGATCTAATCTGGTTAGAGATTGCAGGGGATGTTGAGCATAGCGTTCCCACTCGTGATCTGGTGCGGATGCATGACTGAGCGCCTTCAGCTAGGTGAGTTCATTAAAACTAATGTGGTCAGCATCCAATGTTGAAGGCTTACAGAGCTATTTATTTTGGGGATTTATTTACCGCTACACTGAAAATCTGTATTACTAAGGTAGGCACATTTTATTGGTAACAAATATTGCCCGTACAAGTATGCTATCCTGGAGTCGGCAGACGTACAGCACTTTTAACAGGATAGACCAAAGAAAACAGAGTGCTCACCATTCATGTTCACGGGATGAGTACATGTCATTTGCAATTACTCGAATTCTGCTTTTCCCACAATCCAGTCGACAATTAAAATGTGCGACACAAAGGTTTCCTTTAGCTGAAGGGGAAACAAATGCGTAATACAAATATGGCTGCATGTAATTAGGAAATTTCTGAAATATACACGTCTTTTAAAAGGCACATATACCATTTGTCATGTTCTTATGCCCGGTTTTTTATCACGTGGCCACATCGCCAGATGGAACACTGGTTTCTGTGGCTTTGGCTCTGTGCCAAACCAAATATAAGTTAACGGGTAAGAGTAGCCTAGAGTCGACTCTGAGTCCTCATTGATTGCTCTTGCCTCCCCGTTCCCACTACGTCCAGAACACAATCTCAGCTTCCGCTTTTGGGTCATATATTTCTGAAATTCTTGGCTTATATACAAGCAAACCAGAAGGCAATGTAAGATCCATTTTGAATGTTTTGTGTGTGCAAATCCCTCCATGTTTACACTAGCAGTTTGTTGATTGCTTTAGTTGTACATTGTTAGTCTCTTTGATTCCATTTGAGTTGGTAATATTTGTATTTTATTATACTTTTTATTTTTCTTACGCCATCACTAAGTTTCCACGTTTCTTCCTGAACTGCATTTATGTGGTTTTACTCGATACCTAGTCTTGGTAGCAGCCATGTTGGTTTGTTTCACCTTTTGATTTTTTTCTCTGTATTGACTGGAATCGTGCATTTTTAATTGTGGATTGAAGCACTGTTCCAGAATTGGAAACATTGTGTTATAAAGCAACCAAATATATTTTCAACGAATCTGTGCGTGGTCCACCCAGACAGAATAAAATAGCATTTATTTGTTGTGATTGGTAATTTTCTCGCATCTTTTATCAACTTCCTTATTGCAATCTAGATTTGATTAATTGAATAATTATTGGTTGAGTAGCTGGTCGGCCATATTTGTTTAGGTAACAATGTACATTTAAATTTATAATGAATTTCAGGACCTTCACTTTACCCAACCACTTTCTTTTGGTTTCAACCGAACAAGGGCGCGTATCTAACCCACCTAGCCAGCTATTCTTTAGTACAAACCTTAGTGTGGACCTAACATATTGTGAAAACAGTCCAAAAAGGTTGTTACCGTATATAAAGGGGCAAACTGAGAGATGCGATGGAATATCACAAATCTAGGTGCGAGAAAATCCATTGCGATCGGCAAGAAATAATATTACAAAAGTTTGAGATTTGTCGGAATATTCTAACAAAGTGTTTTCTACCGACGACTGTGAGAGACCAACAATTAATTGTGACAGTGACAGCTTTTGTTAGCATTTGTGGTTATTGTGAAAAGAGCTTTTTCTCGATTTCCTCAACATCTTAAACAAGATAAATTCGGTGGCCATGATGATATTCATCCTAGGATTATGGGAGTTGACCCTATGACCAAACGTTTTATATGTCTTGGAGGCAGTTATAACTGTAAAGAGTCTGGAGCGACCCAAAGATCAGTTCGGTCTATAGAGCAGAAAGTAGAGACTTAGTTTTTAACTATCGACTCTTTAATCTAACAAGTTTGGTTGTAAAAATAACAGAAGAGATTTTTGGATAGTTACTCTAAAAAATGTGAAAGGTAACGAGATTTTAGCTGAGGAACAATCCGATTTTAGGAAAGGTCATTCATGCTCGACTTATTTACTAAAGTACTTACACCTGTTGTAGTGAACTAGAACACAAATGGGAACAATCGAATGTGTTTTAACATAAAATTACAGAATCTATTAGTAAAATCCTAGAGCCATGCAGTACATATTTCATTTGCAAAATATCAGTCTCAGAATCTATTGTTCTTTCGTTCCCACACTAATCATTCCCTGTTCTCGTTCTGTTTTCTTCGACCTTCCTTGCGTTTTGCCACCAGGTATTCCACTTTAGATTGATGATACACACCACTTATATCTATTGACACCAGTAGCACACACCACACTGCTAGTAAGCAAATAAGGTTGACGAAGTGATAACGTTGCTTCATTTAGCCACATGCCTCCTCAATATGTATGTAGTGCCGTTGATTATTGCTACTTTCATTTCAAAAATGATCAGTAATTGTCATTTCGTATTCTTTTGCAAACCAGTATGTGAAGGTTTTCCTCCTCAATTTATAATCAGCATGTATCATTAAAATGCTCTTTGTGAAAAATACCTGTTCTCAACCTGATTATATTGAGGCAATATAGGCGAGCAAATGATAAGATAGAATACAAGGGGAAACCGCCTTGAAACTCGTCTGCCTAGGTTATTGCTTCTGCGAAACATTCAGGTCACATGACTAAGTAAGCTGTGGTCATGGTAAGAGAAAAGCCTATGACCATTACTCGAAACATTTCAAAAGAAACAGCTGGGCTGAGTTTTGAAGCATTCTCCTTTGCAATATTCACCATCACAGCAACTTTCGATGACAAGTTTGTTGCATTCAAGCAACATTACTTGTATGACCACACACATTCAAGCCGACGTCTATCAAAGGCCTGGAATGCTGCCGGTTTTGTCCAAGTTTTGTATCCTACATATAGTACACTTCATTAGAGATGCAAAATCTGTTGATAAGCAGCATCATTTTTGATCTTACATACTAAGGAACCGAAATTCTATTTCCCTAAAGCAGTTTTCCGTCTAGACCTATTAACGAGGATTTTAGTTGCTCGAAAACCATCAGTTAGTTATTCCACACATTCGAATGGATATACCAATGTACTTAGGACCGACAAACGCGGTTTATAATGTGGTCACTTATTCAAATTACAGAACAATAATTCATATACTTTTTGCTATTTGAGCTTGAGGTAGAAGACGTGATCAAACAATGAATCAGTCAACGACGATTAGGTCTTTCTTTAATGTAGAACTTGCCATAAAACTGACTATTTTTGACTACCAAAAACTTGCTTGGAAGGACTGGTGTAACAATGGAATTCATACTTCGTAATTTTCTTAATTCATGGTTTATACCTTCAATGTGCACTTCATAAATGATTCATAATTGAATAGATGATCGGAATAAGATAGATGATTATCACCCATACGTCCGTATTCAAAATACATGAGGCTGATATATTAATCGACACATCTGGAAAGCATCTTCAAGAGAACACATGGTATGATATTAATTTTTCTTAAATTCGCACCGGTTTGCATTCAGTAACTGACCAGTACACATTAGTATCCATTCTCATATAATATCACAAGAAAGAGTTGATTGGCATCCAGACACAATAAAGTAGGTAATAATTCAAAAATACTCACACGTAAGCTTAAATAACAGCATAATATATGGCTTTGATGGTTGGGTAACCTGATAAAGATAAAAATTCAGATCCGCAAGCTTCCGAAACTAGGCGAAAAATACATCAAGTCATCAAGACAACTGCAAAAAACTGAATACTTGTTGGATTGTATAATGCAAGAATTGTGTTGTAAGAGGGAGTAAATTCAGCGTTCTAGTTACCACTTCAAATATGCATACCTTTGCCGGCAGAGAACTAAGCAGAACCTCAGGAAGTCTCCTGTATGATACTAACTTTAATATTTGACATACGTATGCTGTAAATCATGAGAGCGGGACCAAGAAAGTTATCAGGACTATGTGTGCGACTAAGAAACCGTTTATAACTCGAATTACCTTTTAGACCTGATGTATGTATAACATGTTACAGACATTTATTCCTAAGGTTTGTGGTTTGTCTTAGCTCCTTTGGAATTCGGAGAAAATCGAGCGTTATTAAGCATACTTTCGGTGCTTTGGAGGGTTCGAATTTACCGACTTCTAGAGAGTGGTCAGTTATATAATTACTCAAGCTAGTTTGCCCGTTAGCTCTTGCACAGTTACTGTAAC